TGGCCAGTCCACAAGCATGGGTCATTATCTAGTTTTCCAATGGGTGGGCTGCTTTACATACAAAATAAATATCAATAACTGCATGTACAATAAGATATGACCACTGTCTGTGAGTCGATAGTTAGGGATAATGCCAATAAGGTATTTATGTGGCATGTAAAGTGTTATGTATTGTGACATCACAGAAATAAAGCAAACAAAAGAGCACAGTTTTTACTTTCAGGAACAGACCAACAACTTAAAATATTTCTGACTTTTGTAGATAATGACTGATTCAAATAAAAACTGAAGAAAAGATCAAAATAATAACCCACAATATACTATGTAATGCTGAAGAGGAGAAAACTGCAGACCATAATATCTCAATATTGAACCAGATGTGTAGTAAACACATTAATATCAAAACCATATGTAGTACACAATGTCATTATAAAACCAGATACTGGCAGTTTATAATCACCTTTTCTCCTATATGAATTGACTATCACTGCTTTACAGCCAGTATAATTAAAAAAACAAAGTAGTAATTGTTTTATACAATGAAGGTCAAGGATATTGAGTATGACTTTCAATTGCTATGCATGTAAGTAAATAATGATTCTTCAGGTGTCACCTGATGTCTATATGTGACTGCAGTATAATGAAATACCCAAAATTTAGGATGGTACATGGTATATGATCTCCAGTAGTGATCAAATAAATCTGTGTAACATTATCTTCAAAACTTCATCCACAGGTTATCTAAGACCAAGAATCATGAAATGTCAAGGATCCTGATAAAACAGTTCCTACCACAACAATACTGGAGAAACATGTGTACCAACTTATCTGGTACAGATATCTCTTCTATAATTGAGAACTTGTGACACACACAATAACTATATCATGGACACATGAGAAAATAGAGTTCCCTTTGCGTAATGATCAAAGACTTTTACATCCTGTGATGCGTATATATTATAATGAAATATATGTCCTCTCTGCCGTTTCTAAGCCAAATGCAATGCAAATCACACCTGTCATTTCTAACCTTAATACAATGTAAATTATGCCTCTTGTTTCTAATTCTAATACCCTGTAAATCAGACCTCTGTGACATTACTAACCCTAATACATTATAAATCATACTTCTCTGTAATTTCTAACCCTAGTACAATGTAAATTGACAGATTTGTGCACTTACTTACTACTTTTACATGCTCATCATACATATTTGAAAAGAAATGCTATGTGATATATCAATGTGTGGACATGATCTCTCACTTGCTGAAACAACCCTGAGTTTTACACACTATTTTAGGAAGATACTGCTATATTTGGGACTAGGAACACAAAATTAAACTCAGCATACACAAACAAGTCTGAAAGTATAACACATCTGCATTTAGTTTTCCAGAAATTCAAATTGGAAAAGCCTAACTGAGTATATGATGATCGACATGACTAAATTTACTATAAGGGAGATAACTCTTTTATCATTTCTTCAAAAAACAAAACCAACATATTAAAAAAGGAGCTTCAGAGTTCAGTTTATAAACAATTTAGTAATAAAAAAGGCAACATCACTTTTAGAAAAAATATGTGATGTAAATCTAAAGACTACACTTATCAATGTTCGTGAGTGCAATAATATATCATCCAAATGCATGGCACTACCAGAGCCATATTAACAATTGTACTAACTATTAAGACCAAGCCTGTAGTGTAGAGCATCAAGAAAAAAGCTGTTTTACTTATCAGTAACATAGATTAATTTTTAATATCTGTACAATGTTGCAGACTGTTGTGAAATAATATACTGCTACACTGTAAAGTATTACAAGACAGTCCATATATAATTCAACACTGGCAATAGTTTTATCATTGACCACTCTACCCACCTCTTGTTGATGTTGGACTAGGACGTACACTGATAAAATAAATTCAATATCTATTTCTATATTTATTATTGTAACTCATCTACAAAAAACATTCATCCTGACCTCCAGTGTTTTGTCAGCTGAAAATTCATTCTGTAGCTGTTTGTGGTTGGGTACCCTAAGTATACAATGGGTGCGTTATTTAATACCAGAGGAAAGAGTGTGAAATTCTCTCATTTAGATCACGGCCTCAGTAAAGGCTCAACACTGATGATATACCAAAGCTTGCTGTACTGCCATCATTTGTCCAGCAAAATAATGTTGGCATAATAAAAGTATTTGGCAACATAGAATGAATAATATATGATAAACATAAAGGAATATCTATGAAAACAAAAACTAGATAAACAAATTAAAACAAGTAGTGTTGCTTACATAAGGTATATGTCTTACTAAATTTGAATGTACAGGTACGTTTCTAATATGTCAAGTTCATATTACAGTACAAATTCTGTTGAAAAATAGTGAGCATTATAAAATAACAAATTATCAATTTAAAAATAAAGTGACCAAGTTATAATACAGAATTGCAAAAATATGTGTGATTAAATGAGAAATATATCTATAATGCTGACTAAGGTATGAAATTTCATATATATTCCTATACCTATGTATAACTTTCCATTGATAATGACTTAAAATTATATCTAATGGTTTTTGTTCTAAAATGTAGCTCCTCACTCATGATGAGATAAATCATCTGACTTTTATTACAAGTGTAGGACACCAACACACCTACCTACAATGTGCTATAATTACAATGCACTGGTTATAACATACTACACAATCCTGGTCCCCTAGAAACATTGTTACCCACCACCCAAATGTACTAGTATAGCTCATTCACCCATGGCAAGTATTCATACATCAGTTGATTTCCTATAAAATTACAGTATACTATATATCTTTACAGGTGAAAACACTATCATATTTGATGTTTTATTGGTATGAAAGAAATTGTAATTTGTAATGTTCAGTCTTTATATTTCAGGAAAATTTTATCAACTTCAAATTCTGGTTCGTTTTTTTTATAAGAAAGAGTAGTGCTCCATAATATAAAGAATGATCCTCTTCTCATTAATGACTTATAATCTGACCAAATAAGGTTAACTACACACACATTCAAATAAATATTGACAATCTCCACTCTCAGACTATCCCACTGATTTTCACACTGACACTTTTCGTACTCCATGACACTGCTTTGTACTTTGTGACACTGTTATGTACTTTGTGACGCTGTTTTGTACTTCATGGCACCGTTTTGCACTTTGTGACACTGTTTTGTACTTCATAACACTGTTTTGTTCTCCATGATACTGTTTTGCATGACAGTGTTTTGGTTCTTTGGCCTATCACACCATTCCTTATCGCCTGGGATTTTGCAAATGTGGAAGATCAGTCACATGGTTTTAGGAAGCAGCTCAATAACTTTAAAGGAATTTCTTTTTTTACCATGAACTTATCCACAAATCTCTTTACATGAATGAAGTGTATTTACTTCCAATCCATGTTATACCCAGAACAGTGTTACAATAAAAAAATGAGCAGTAAACATTTTTACTCTTACCAATATACAGGTAAATACACATACAAACAGCAGTTTTTGACACCAAATCAGATTATCAACACATCAAGATCATAATTAAATAATAAAACAGTTTTGTAACAAAAAAAATGGCTTACTGTTACAACATTGATAAAATCTGATTGTGACGACGTAATAATGTGACACATTCATACAATAACATCATACTTAGGTTTGGTACAACAGTGGAACTTGTTCAATGGATACACATGTCAAAAAATCTTCTCAGTCATGCAAATACAGAGACATGTTTATATTCAACTTCACAGTAACACAAAAATAAATCCTTTAGACAGTTTATAAATTAAAGCTATGGCTATGCATAAGATCACAAACAGTACATACCGGTATATTACTATTTGAGATCAAAAACATAAAAGGAATAAGTTCTAATTTGTGAAATAAATAGCGCCCTGTTTAAAACACAGTGAGATGCACATCTTGTAACAAATGTTACAAATTCTTCTGTTCACTTTAATTCTTTTCTGATCCTACAGTACATTTCAACTCTTTTCCATTCCTTATGTTCACGTCAACTCTTTTCCAATTCTGCTGTCCACTTCAATTCTTTTCCAATTCTGCTGTCCACTTCATTTCTTTTCCAATCCAATTGTCCACTTCAACTCTCTCCTGCTTCCTATTTCATCTCTCTTTTATGTATTAATACTACTTACTCTCTACCTTATCTTTCTCCTAAAGGATGTACCCATATATTAACCTAGCTTTTTTTCTATTACACAAATGTTTGAGAAAATACCAAAAAAAAAAAATAAATAATAAAAAAAAAAAGAAATAAAAAAAATTCCAAATATAGGAGGTACCAGCCTCATTATCCTTTAACTTAAGTGAAAATTCAAAATTACCACAAAACATTGACAAGATGCAATTAAAGAGTGGTACCATCACAAGAAAAATCTGTAAACAATTTTTCAGCAAATTTGAGATCAGTCAGGTATTGAAAATATATAATTCCTACTGAAGGTCTCTATCTTAGATACTAAGATAACAGACAACTCACCAGTAGTAAATCCTATTTTTTAGAGAACATTTCTCACTGATGCTGTAGAATTACACTGCCTTTATATCTAAATGTGTCATCACTGATTATGGTTAGAGAGCTGCACATTCATAGAAATATATAAAGTAAGGTCTTATTGTTTATACAGTAAACAAATAAAATGCTAAAACTATCAACTACATGAGTAAGGATTTCCTGTTTTTTTTTATCCAGAAATGAAGAACACTGTAGCTTTTGTCAACATTTGTCATATCTCTTTTATGAAGACTATGTAACACAATTTGCAAATTACTAACAGACCTGTTAAAGAGAATGAAGAGTTAACCTTAATAAAGCATTATGCAAATTTGTTTTGTTCTGTAGTGAATTACTTTTAAAAGTTTCTTTCGTTAAATATTACAAGCCTCATCCTGTCTTCATGGGCATAGGAATGGGTACATCCTTAATGCTGAACAGTAAGATTTTATCCATCCTCTTAGTCTTTTTTCTTAATGGTAAAAGCAGAAATGTTGAAGTGTTCACACATCTCTTTAACCTACAAAAGATATCATATCAAAACTCAATATAGTGTAATTTTTGTAATACATCTAGCATATGCTGGAAATATATTCAATCTTTACCAGAATTTTTGAAATTTGACTTATAATCATCAGCTAGGGAGTATGTCAATGAAAATGTTTGAATATTTATGTTAGAATATTTTTTTATGTTAATAATTTGTATTGAAAATAACTAGTAAGAAAATTTATGTGAGATTTTTGATGACTACACTGTCACATTCATCAAATGAAGTCATATTTGCAATAAGAGAGATGGTAATGAAATCACTTTTTCGGCTGTGAGGTGAGGATATCTAATCAACGTTTGAATCTTTGTCTCCAAGCCAACTAGACAAATTGATTATGTTAAAGGTTGCTGTCTGAATAAAGAGAATTTCCTTTTCCTCAAGTAAGTTTTGGTGTTAACTTTGGACAAGTACGATAATCATCTAATTTTATCTCCTTTAAGGCACATGTGAAAACTTTTCCATTTGCAATTTCATTTCAATAGCATGTTGTCCATAGGATAATGACAACATATATTACATCTTTGAATGTATCTTCTCAACAAAAACTTGATTATATTCATTTCACATTAAGGATTTATGATTCTTCACTTAACCTTCTTTTCTGAAGAGCTCCACTCAAAGATATATATAAGGCATGGTTATTTACAGTCATTTAGAATCAAATTTTTGATCACAAATTTCACCTAAATGTTCCTGTAATGGCTATAGACAGGTTTTTAGTTCAAGTAATTCCTACATTTATACAAATAGCATGCAAATAGCGATTGATCTGATATCTTTGGATCTAAAACTACCGCCTTTTACATTTGAAAACATTTTCATTTTTATAACTTACCACACAGATACCAAAATGGATATGAGCCACTGTGGTAAAAATTGTGAATGCCCAGAGTATTGGGACTTCTACATGACCTGGCTGTATTAGCATGACTCCACACACTATACCTGCCAGTGGATATAGCATCCAGTTCAGCAACTCACAGCGAGTATCACTCATCTGACTAATGATGAGTCGACACTGAAATTGAAAAATTGTCCATCATCATAATTTCTGTCAGGAAAATACTATTCATTCACATAATGGGAATTAGTTCTTTTCATGAAACTTGTATCTTTCCACTATGATTTGCTGTAGTCCATTGCAAGTGTGAGTTTTGAGAATATGGGATCATATAATATTTTACCCATTAAAAACCACATTTAGTAGAGCAAATGCATATTTAAATCAAATTTTTAGCAGATTGACTTACAATCTAATCCAAATGTGATGCACTTAGGAAAATAAAAAATGAAGATGTTTACTTTAAAGACTTACAGCTATATTGGAAAATAAGGTTCCAGTGCAGAAGTAAAAAAGACGAGGTTGCTGTTCAATAATTTGACAGCTGGAGTACTTCGCCCAGATGATCATGAGACAAAAGAGTACTAAAGTTCCCACCAAGGGACGCATGGCCTCCCACAGTGTTCTGTTCTTTCCTGTCCCATCACGGTGTGCACTGGAAATAAGAAATACACAATACTGTCTATAAATACCAGATTCACTACAAATAACCGCATCAATGATTTTAGAACACATACCATTTCGGAAATATGAAGGCAAGGACAAAGGAATATAGGAAAAAGTGGAACATAAACAACGACTTGTTTAGGGAAATGCTCAAGGATTGTTCATTTGTTCAATATACATTGAACACAATGATGACAAAGAGGTATAGATGTATACACCTCCTGATATGTGAAGTGAAAGAATAGCTTATATAATCATGGATGCAAGGAAGCAGTGATGGCCACACATACAAAAACAAATAACATAAACAACAGGTCCTACAGGAGCTGTACGGCCCAACCTTTTATTTGATAGTTGTGATCTCTGTAGTCTAAAGATTTAAAACTTTTTATTTCTGGTTGAATTGGTTGTAATTTACTAATCAGTTTTTAGCAGATTTTACTTAAAGGAAAAAAATATTACTAGATGCAGACAGTTTAACATTATAATATAACCGAACAGTGTTATACGTAAAATTAAGCAACAAACTAGAGAGTATGGAAGCAGGATTACTAATCTATCATGTGATCCCCTCCAGTATCATCAAATAAGTGAGCAAGTGTGTTTTCTGCTAGATTTACAGTATAGAAAGTGTAAGATCCAATGTCATGCCATGTAATACTCCACCTTAAAGACTGTCTGATTCTGATGAAAAACACCTAGTGAGTCATCAAAAATGATTAATCTTCAGATTAATCGAAACAGTTTCTCTTATAATTCTTTATCATGAATACTCACACATATATATTCCATAAGGTTGGTGGGACAGTCAAAAGGAAAGTTCCTACTGAAAAAAAAAGTAATCTAATTAATATGACAGTTAAAACATATTTCATTACTCAATTTCAAAATGATAGAGAAATGAAAAACATATTTCCATGGTATATATCTGATGTACTTAAAGTTGGTCTGTAATATTTATTATTTCTTCTTCACCTATATTATCCACCTTAAACAACAAATACATATAAGGTAAAAAAAAAATTGGAAATACAGGAGAAGGGTAAAGAGAATAACATCATTGCTCTTAGTTCATTGAACTTCGCCAAAATCACTGAATTCTTTTAGGCAGAAATAATTTGTTCTGAATTTTGTAGTTATAGAATGAACAACATGCAAAACATGCTGTAGACAAGACAAGGTTAGTGATGGAGTAACATTTATCTATTTATAATCCTTATCCAATCAGCAGCTGGACAGATAAATACTTACAGTGCATAGCTATTTCTAAACCCTCTGCACAAAGCAAGTCTGTAAAAGGGAGTTTGAATTGCCACATCTCATGCCCTCCAAAGTAAGCTATTAGGAACAGCAAAGTCATTCCCTGAGAAAGGAAAGTTATCTTTCTTAACAGAAGTGAAGAAAATATCTGGTATGTGCTTTCAAGATTATAAGTACTGCGATGAAAAACAAACATATTTTTATCAGATCACAGATTTAAAAGATAATATGACTTCAATCTTTTCTTGAAAAGCGGATACTGTGACATTTGTTATTCTTAGTGTCTAAAAGACAAAGGGGAAATCACAATGTTTTGATCCTCACACACTTTTTTTTCTGTTTGATTGTAAACGTGAGCAACGCATAACATACAACCTTGTCTTAGCTACTGGTTTCATGTATGACCTTTTTGCTGGCAGCAATTGTTTATTGTCAACAATTTGTTGGAGAGATATCATATCTCTCTAACAAATTGTTGGTAAAATAGACAAAACTGAGTATAGAATGGTGATAAAGGTTCCAGTCCTGGAGAGTCAATCTGCCAAACAGTATGAAAGGTGATGACTGCTGTTTAGGGGGCGTCTTCCCCTCCTACTGCAACTATTAAAATGCTAGGTGAAGGAATTTAAGAGTGACCAAGACAGCCTGAGGGTGCATGCAATCAGGATGGCCATCAACCAGTACTAGTGCTGAAAAATTGATATTACACAAACTAGTAATGGAATCTACTGTACCACTCTTTATGATGGGTCAAAGGAATGCTTTTGGCTAACACAAGCAATGGAGTGTCACCATCAGTGGAGCAATGCTATCTCTTTTTAATGCCAACCCAGATGATTTTCATTTCAGGGTTGTAACCGGTAATGAACCCTAGCTTTGTTATAACAGTCTGGAGAGTAAACAGGGATTGATGAAATGGAAACAAGCCACATGTCCGTAGACATGGAAGTTCAAAGCCACAAAGTTCACCAAGAAGATTATGATGACCAGATTTTGGGACAGTAAAAGAGGGATTTACATTGACCATCTGCCCCATGGAACAACAATTAATGTAAACCATTGTTCTAACCTACTGATGAGCAATGCGATGGAGGACTGGTTAGGTGATCAAAATGCAGAGTTCTACAAATCAGTCAAAATGACTGGAAAACTAAATGCAACAAGTGTGTGGATTTGGAATGGGACAATGTTGACAAACTAAAGCATTAAAAGTCACAATATCTTGCTCTTCCTGTACAACTTTTTGATATCTCCTCATCTGTCTATCTACATTATTTTTAAACTACAGAAATATAACATCTATAATTTAATTCCAGTTTTTTGGTAAAAAAAACCCAACCAAAACACTACCATGTACATGTGTAGCAAATTGATATGTCGGTATTGTCTGAGGTAAATATCAATAATTACTCCAGTAATTAAGTCATACAAAACCTATTACAATGATATGGTATAGCCATTGATTCTTAACACTGAAATACATGATTTATTGATAAAATTTCCTCCCATCATTCACAGGCTTGTCACCCCTTTTACTTGTTAAAGGTTTCTCTGTCAACCCCTAGGGTACGAGTTCTCTGTCAACCCCTAAGGTATGACAGATAGCGCGTGCACCTGAAGTGAATTGGAACTACTTCTACACACGTCGTCTGCTACATATGAACAGTATTTTTACCTGTTTGTTTACAAGCTGATTATCACTGAAGCTAAGGCTCTCTGAGAAAAAGTATGATGGGAGAGAGATAATCATCCCGTACCTTGAGGGTGTAACAGAGAAATCTCCAACCCTCGGGGTGATATTCTTGGTTGTCTAACCCTCGGCATAGCCTTGGGTTAGACAACCAAGAATATCACCCAAGGGTTGGAGATTTCTCTTTCACACCCTCAAGGTAGTGGAAGATTCTATTAATCTTTAAGTCATTGCAAAAGAAACTTTATAGTATTGTTTTGGTATAATACAACCAGATCATAGAGACTTTACTCACTATTTGACTGAGATCATAGCCCCAAGGTAGAAACAGGATACCAGTGTTGTACTTCTCCCAATGGGACAGAATAAAACAGAACATGATACCAATCATGACAAGATAAACCCTGAACACGTTCACCCCGAATTCTCCACGTCCGTAGATAGAATACATGTTTATGGGGAAAAACAGTGTAGCCCAACTGTCCAGTCCATGGTCAAACAACTCGCCCAGAGGAGAGCTACTTCTTGTCCTCCTTGCTTGCTTTCCATCAGTACCATCTAAAACACAACATTCTACAATGACATCTGTATATAACATGATTGAATTATTCATGAAAGAAGATCCCACAACCAGATGTGCAAAGTGTTAATTTGTTTGACTTTTAATTAAATCTGAAATTCTACCTATTTACCACTTAAAAAAATCACAGAATAATGTCAAAAACCTAATGTAGTAAACAATCTCCTAAATGACAATAGTAAAGCCCAGTGTCATTGGTGTTTATTCTTACTTACCTAATGTATGAGACCAAAATACATTGAAGCTGCACAGCAGCCACACCCAATTAGGCACCCCTGGCTGGTCAGGGCTGGCTTCGAAGAAGTGAGGATCAATGATAGTCAGCACCACAAAAGACACAACGAGGAGAGAAAATCCAGCCAGAGTAAGAACATTGGGTGCAAGCCATCTTGGATACAACTGTGGTAAGAAACAGAAAGATGTATATTTTCAACATTTATAATGGTATATTATATATTCTATGCTGAGTTGTAGCACTGATAATGCATCAAAGAGTTGATATCACTGACAATTCCTTCTGGAACTGCAGGTTATTTTTCATCAATTTAAAAAAGTCAAAAAGATCAGTCAATCTGAGGCCCCATTGGCCATTATCATTCAATTGTACTGCATCCTACCATGTAATGAGATAACTGGAATTTATTCAGAAAACCTTCAAGTTCATCTCATTTAACATTTTCAGATAAATACATCAGTATTTTGTAATTTATCAAGGAGAGTATTTTATGTCATGAACAGTATAAACTTTAACAGAAAATGCATCAAAGTTGTTCACTGTTTCCCTAACAAGTATCATGGATATTATCCATGAAAGGCCTAAAACAAATCCACAATATTTATAACTTTCTTTTGTCAATAAACCCATTTGAATTACCTGAACAAGCTTGTCCCAGAAAGGATGAGTGATATATTTGCTGACAGGACTGGTATCAATGGAACTATACTGTGAAAGGAAAGGAAATATGGTTACACTGCTTGATTGTATATACATTTTAAACTATAACATCACAAGAAAAAAATAGATATGCCTTGAATGAATAACCAAAAACTTTATGTGCCAGTACAATATAAATATTCCTGCTGGCAACAAATGAGATTTTATAATTGGTTATTGGGTTTTAAAGATGTCAGGATTTATAGGCTTGATCATGTGTGACAACTGATGAAAAAAGTTAATAGCTGACATGATACATACAAGATACAAGAAGTTTTATTTGAGTCCTGTGTTGTAACAATGAAATGGTAGTCTGGTATATCTATTTCTACAAGAGACAAATCAGAATATCAACAGTACAGTGATAATATACATATAAAACAGTAATGTCCGGACATTTAACCATGTAGATAAATCACAGACCATTATAAATATGCATACATTAGACTCTACACCTATCAGCTAATGTTTGTTTTACAGAATGTCTGCATACTTTCAGACAGAGACACCACCATCCATCCCTCTCTCCCTCATCACCATTCCAATACCTAGTTCAGTAGCATTTCCCAAATAGACAGATCATGTGATGTTTGATGTTTTGACTTGTTTGGTGGTTCTAAAATTGGTGATTAGCATTATATAACTAAATCATCTTGGAAGTTCAACAATAAAATTGGTGAAAGCAGTATTTTGTCAGCAACAGTTACATCCCTTTGCCATGCATCATATCCAAACTTCACCCATCAACTCGTTTAATGCAACTACAAAATGATTATATCTATTTTTTTAAATCTATTCAGTGGATTCTAATAATGCACCATGGAATAAACTATAGAAGTAAATATGTTCGTATAACCATCCACTGAACAATTGGTTCCAGGCTGGTTGATATGATAATTATGAGCAACTGTACTGTGGTAGATATATATATTGTTCCAAAACAATTATGTAACGCTTGCTTTCATTGACTTATAGACCTTCCTGAATTAAAAATGGCAAACTGGAGTTCCAGAATACCTGTTGTGAAGGATTTTTGGGAAAGAAGCACACATTGAAATGAATAGAAGGAATTCAGTGCAGTGTCCCTTATATGCACAGGTAGACAAAATACAGAAAAAGTTTTGTATTCTGCCCTTAAAATTATGATATCACATCAGATAAAGTATCTGTTATTGTTACTGACAATGTACACTTTTCACATGGACCACTGCATGCCAAAGAAAAATTGTAATCTCTGAGATGTATTACATGTTTATATGAAGAATGCACAGAGGCATCTAAAACGAATGATAACAATGACAAAAAATAGAGAGAATATCATTACGAACATAATACAATGTATATACATGTTTAAATTGATCTCAACTCATTTTTTTTTTATTATCACCTTTTTTCATTTTACAAAAACCTGAGATGCAGGTAACTGTTACATATATCTGAAACAATTACCTGTCATTTTCTTTCAATCTTTTTGTTTCCAGGGGTGAATATACCCGGTATTACACGTTTGTTTACATAGTGTTGTTACAATATTAAGTATCAAAGCATGCAATAATGAACAATTTTGAACAATTCTATTATTATACTTCTATTTAGCTGAACATTAAGAGCGATGTACATTAGTATTTTTGTATTCTGTATAACTAGAATCAAAATGTAAAGTTATGAATGTGAAGGCTGGAATACTATTTCCCCATTTCAGGAATCACAATATACTACTATAGGGACCACATTATACCACTACAGGGACCACATTATACAAATACATGGACTCTATTATACCACTACCAGGATCACATTATACCACTACTCATGACCACATTATACTACCACTGGGATCATATCAAATCCTTTACAGGGATCACATACCACTACCAGGACCACATTATACCACTACATGGATAACATTATACAGGATGTTTACTCATATGCCCAACCTGTTCATGTACAGCTAGTACAATTATAACTTGAGAGGAGAAGTGTGTCTCTGCAAGGAAATGAACACAAAAGCCCTAGGCCTGGCTTAATGAGTCTATCTCTCTACTTATCTATCTTAAGGGAAATTGTCTCTATCACAATACTACTAGAAGTCTATCATATTCCTTTGTATTGTTGAAACCTGTCACACAAATGATCTATAAACTAATATCAGTGTACAAAATGTCTCTTCTTCTTGAGATGCGAGTTGGTCTCTTAAAGTAAAACCAGAAAGAATAGTCTAATATTGAAATCAAAATCTAATGATAATACAATAGTACTGCAAAATTTTTCTAAACCTTCATATTCTGATAAACTTTAAAATTCGTCAGCTGCTAAACGAAATATACAACAATGGTTATGACTGGTGCTATATTGGTACATTTATATGGTTCTGGTCGCAGTAAATGGAGTCGTATTCATATTCCTTCGGTGTTTATATATGAAGCTGTACTGTACATGTCATCATCGTGATGCAGTATTGTGGAGAGCCCAAAGGTTGCTCAGCATGTATCGTTTGAGTTTAGTGCATAAACACCTTTTAAAACCATCAAAATGTATGACAAAAAATTAACTTTGCCTTATTTCCTTAAAATCAGTACCGAAAAATGTAACTCTTCTGATGATTTACCTTATACCGATCAAAACCAGACAGAACTTCTTGTGACAAGTATCTATAGGTAGCCATGCTGCAAGGTGAATTAAACACTAATAAAACGTAAATTTTGATTGGATGATAAATCATCGAACGGTTGTATAGGCCAATGAGCGTATCCGTACTAACGCATCTAAAAGCGTCTGCTACGGTATTCGTTTGGAACATCTCGGACAACTTTTGCACTGCCTAGGGGGATTTTGACTACTTGCATTGGAACAGCGAGAGGCGGCCGACCCCTCAAATTTGACACAATTATCAGCGTGAGGTTGTTTTTCTGAGGGAGCGGGTGACGTGGACAAACTCCTTAGTTATCATGGCTAAACATAGGTAAGGATAACAAATGCCGTTATATCGATCAAAGTTATGATTCCCATTGAACGGGAGAGGCGTGGCACTTGTAACATGTGTACAAAACAACTTAGAGAAAACACTTAAGTAACAGCATATGATAAACGAACAGTTCTACACGTAAACCTAATCTTATGAGCTTATTGAAGCGTGTAGTTATTGATTTCTTTTAAGACTCCAGTCCATTTAAAATTGTTTCAATAATCTGCATCTTTGTTTCCAGTATCATGTCGATGCAACTGATTGGCGGTAAGCAAATGTCAATTCTTTCATTAAGGAGATCATTTTTGAAATCGCCTAGCAACTATCAACTTCTCTCTCATGCATTTGCTGCAAAATACTCAAGCATACTACTTTATCAAATATTTTAAATCACTTGGATAAATATAATATTTTAGATTGTCATTACAGATTTCGATCAAAGAGAAGCTGTGAAACAACCCATTACTCTCTCTCATGATCTTATTATTAGCAACCTGCATATCTGCATCTAAACTAAATGACTCTTCTAAGGCATTGCACAAGGTGCCTCATTGCTTTCTTTTGAAATAGAAAATTATTGTTTATATGGAAATACTTTCAAGTTTGGTTTCATCTTTTCTTCATAGCAAAAACCAATGAATTGTTCTAGACAGGGAGGTATCTGGTTGTGTCCATGAAGCAGTGTGCAACATGTTTGGCCCACTACTCTGTCTCTTTTAAATCTAGACTCTTTCCAGACAATTGTATAATGTATCACAGTTATTAATTGTCCCTCAGACTCTCAAACACTCCATATTGACTTGAACTAACTTGCTCATTGGGAGAATTCCTGTGGAATGGTAATTCCATCCTGGTAAATGTGTGCTTTTATCTGCAGTCACCTGTTCTAGTAACGTCTTAAAGCCTCTTACATTCTAAAAGCAAAATCATTTGGGGGTCTCTTTGACACACAACATGAGCTGACACGGACACATAAATAACATCACATCTGAGTTGAATCAAATGCTAGACATCCTTTCACCATCATTTAAAAACTAAATTTAAAAAACAGACATCATTACATGTCTTGTGTGACTGACATGTTAAAGCATCTTGTTCTTGAGCCACTTGAAAAACAATAGGAACACCGTCATAATGACCATGCTCATTAAGATACACAACCAACTTATTGCTATAGACCCACTTATTGTACATGAGACCTCTGTTCACTTCTACCCCTCCTCTCATCACTCTCACTTTTTTTCACTTACCACACCACTCTGGATATGGTATCTGTGGAGTCTCTTAATAGCTTCAAGTAGAAGCATAGAATCATCGCCACAACCATGAAATGCACAATGCTTGTTTAATCCTATCTATTTCTTTTTTTCATTATGTGCCATTTGCCCTTTGTTTGTGATCCATCACCCATCTGTCTGTCTTGAAGCAATTCTTGTAACAGCTATTTCTTGAGAATTACCAGATGGATCATTTTCACATTCATGTGATCCCTTGATCCCTAGTTGTGCATTGTCTGATTTTGGAACCAATTCGTAAAACAACATGGCCAACAGGTGGCCATCTTGGATTTTGACAGAAATAGATTTTTATCACAAGATAGATCTTTCTGTGACTTTCCAGTTTTACAATGGAAATTTACTTTAAATTCATATTTGAGAGATTGTGAAACATTGGGATAACATCAACATTAGATATGGATTTGTTGGTTAAATGGTCCTTTGCTTCCTTCAGATCACTTTTGTAAGATCCTTTGCGATTGCATGTGGTAAAGACACTGCTGGAGGACTGAGGTCACTGAAGTTAGCAATAACCTGTATGCCACATGTGCAATTTAAATCATACTTAATCTGTAAATAGATTTCATTCCTTTCATTTCATTTCATTATGCAATATCTACATGCAGTGTTGCATTTGCCCATAGATCATTAGTCCATTCTAAAAGGGTGACATAATTATTTATCTGTTGTTAGCATTGTATTCATAGTGACTGTATACTACCATCTGGATATAGTTTATTGCTTAAATATCTGTATATATATGTTAATACATGCAATTACTTATTATTAATTAGCATAAAAATGTAAATTCTACAATTGTTTGTGTGTCATTGATTTAGATCATGATAAGTGATACAAGATTTTTTAAAAAAATTTTCAGTGAAGTTCCACAAGAGCTTGTCCAGGATGTGGAAGAAGTCTTCAATGACTTATGGGCCTGTGATAACCAAAAGTGTTACCATGGAGAAGATTTTGAAGTGTATTTACAAGGTGCAAAATGAACTCGTCTTTGGTGTGAATATATGTATCTAAACCCTTTAGTTTTAGAAAAGTTGTCAGGTCTGAAACATTTCCATATTTTTTTCCCTTTTTGTTTGAACATTTACCTTAATTAGCAAAAGGAATGTTGTTGGTTCAAATCCCTGACTGGTCAGGATGTTTTTTATTTTCCTTTCTGTTACCTGTCAGATTTTGGTGCCATTGATGACTTCATAGTCAACATGTAGGAAATGATGAAAGGGCAATAGAATATGGGTTGTTTTGGTTGTCTTTAGCATTTAAACACTTAATGCAAGAGTGAGTGGTGAGAAAGTTGAGGACATAGTTTGTCTTTCTAGGTTTAGCTATCTGGTGGATGTAGGTTGTCTGGTTGGTAGCCAGAGGTTGCCAGTTCAAACCAACATGAGAAGGAATTTTTCACTGCTTCTTTCCATTAGTGATACAATACCCTATTTTGTATAATTATTGAAGAAGTAGTTATACTAGTGTTCATACTGAGTTAATCTTAGCATACATCTTTTGTATGTAAAAAAAATCATTTCTGTGTAGAAGTTCATATAATATTGGCTTTTTTTTTTGCTGTAGACTTCTGTATTTTGAAACTACATACATGTATAGCAAAGTAAAGGAGAGATGTAGAGATCTTTTTGCTCTCTGGATGATTTTTTTGAAGGAAACTTTCAGCTGAAAGATTTAAATGCATAAATAGTATATTTCTATACAGCTGTATCTCTGTGGGTTCAACCAAATCAGTGTTATTCATCACATATGACAGAAACAATATACATGTAAATAGGCTCTCTGTAATTGCCTGTCAGTAAAATTCTATTCCTTTCCAATAATAGACTTATCATAATGTAAGACATCCTTTGATCATTTTATAATTTATTTCTGTTCCTCTGCGTTCTCTTATGATGAATAACGTTATTGTATAATTTGAATTATATCATGAACTTATAATATAAGACATCCTTTGATCTTTTTTTATTTATTTCTGTCCCTCTGCGATCTCTTATGATAAAGAACGTTATTGTATAATTTGAATTATATCATGAACTTATAATATAAGACATCCTTTGATCTTTTTTTTTATTTATTTCTGTCCCTCTGAGATCTCTTATGATTAAGAACTTCATTGTATAATGTTGATTAATGGTGATAGCATCATTATCAGTTAGTTGTTTTATCATAACATTGAAGCCTGATAATCAGTTCTTATCCTACAGGGAGGGCTAGTACTCGTAATCAAAGAGATGTTTCAAGACAGTCGCTGTTTGATTATTTCAATGAGGAAAAGATATTTTCTATGGAGACATACCAGAGTAAGTACATGTATGTATATCATTCTATATCTACTCTGTGTGGCACAAAACAAAACCAAGAAAAATCTCCTAAAACCATATGGAACCAGGACTTAGGGCTTTTTTGGGGCTGATAATTATTTCATATTTAAGCCTATTTCCCAAAATTTGCATTTTATTCCCGAAAATTTCCTTCCTGATTCACCAATTTTCTTCCCAAGATGAGGCAAACATGTAAAAAAGCATCATAAAGGAAATATCATCCTTATATCAAAGGTTCTATAGATTGCTTGGCCATATTTATGAATTTTTTATCTGTGCTTGAAATTAACAATCAGACCTTACTCCAAAAGCACTAGGTGGAATGAGCAAGCTGAAAAGATACCCTTGTTAACACCTGTACACCTGATTGTCATTAGTGCTAATAAGCATTCTCTATCTTTTTTTTTAGTGATATATGTTGTGTCAACTTTTGCGATGGAACCCTTTTTAAAGTGATACTTCTTTTGTCCCCTACCAGTGAAACTTGGAAGGAGGGGGTTGGCATAGGGAAACTATAGTTTTCACCTCCATCTGTCTGTGTACATACCTAACACCAAAGTTTTGCTTTTGTTTTGTCCCTTGAGGGATTCTCATCAAACTTTACACATCCATTAAGTATCATAATATCTTTGACAAGCTGGAGTTTCAGGGTTGTTTTGCATAGATCAAGGTCACTGTTACTATTTTTAGAAAATCATAGCATCTTCATTCCTTGAGAGATTCTTATCAAACTTTATACACTGATAAAGCGTCAAAATATATTTATCATTTCAGTTTTAGGGTTGTTTGGTCAATCAAACCATGTACACTTACTTACAGCATGATATGCAGGACATGCTTGAGTTTCAATGTTGTTTGATCCACAAAATCTGGTATACTTATATACAACAATCGTAATATCTTGAACAAGTTTGAGTTTCAGTGTTAATTAATCAATAAAACCTTGTACACTTACCGGTACACACAACCTTAACATGGTCTTAAAAAAGTTTGAATTTCAGTGTTATTTTTCACAGAAATGAATGAATATAACACATATCATTACACATTGTTGATGAAACTATATGTTCAGATTAAATATTGTCATACTACATTGATCCAATAAAATCAATTTACAAACTAATTATATACTTTCCTGTTTCTTAAAAATTTATACCAAACAGCACCAAATTGGCCTAGTGGGGACATGCACAGATTTAGTACATCCGCGATACTACAGGCCCATCACTTTTGCACTCTGCACCCCAGGATCATGTCAAGGCAAACTTGAAAGTTCCATGTGTGACCCTTTGTGGACAAAACGAAAAGACTAGTCTGATCCTTTGATGTACATCAAACGAATCTCGAGGTTATATAACGGCATATTGTAATGGCTATGAAGTGGGGTGAATGGTTTTTCTCTTCTTCTGGAACCAATCAAATTACTTTGCTTATGCCTTCAATTTTGTTATGCCATGTTCCAGGGTTGCAGAGAGCAAATGTGATTGCAACCCATGGAGTGTTGAGGATGGCTTTAGCAACACACAGTATGATTATTCCATTAGATAACCGATGTTGTTTAGCTATAACAATGTTATGTTTGACTTCCTGCAGCTTTTCGTGACCTATTAAACAACTACACATTGGAGTGTGGTGAAGCAGAACAAGTGACCCCTGAAGAAGTCAAGGAAAACCGTCGGTTCATAGAGGCTGTGATGAAAACAGAAGTGATGCAGAAAGCTCGGGCTTGGCTGATCTCTAAAGATTTTCTGTCAGACGAATTTTATACTCCTGATGCTGTGATGGCAGAAAGAGGTCTTGAGTTTGATTTCAACTTCATGAAGATGTTGTACAAACTTTGGTTTAGCCTTTACAGAAGGACCAAGGGAGATAGGTAGGAACTGATACAAGTATACAGTGTAAACTGCTAACCTGTTTGTATTTTAACTGGTAACCACATAACAGATACAGTAAACCATACTATGATAACATAATGGTTTTCAGCGCATGTCAATGATGATTGATGGCTATGTATATGTATAAGTACATCTATTTGAGCCCCTGCTCATTTTTTTCACCCTCATTCATTAAAAACATCCATAACGTTTTGAATATATGTCCTATTAGACTGATGTTGCATGTTCTAGTGGGTTTGACTGTAAATGCATAATTATGTTCATCAGTCTACTTAGGTAATAACACCAAGTAATGTGTGTGTTGTTGGCATCTCAATGCAGAAACAACATCAGAAATGGCTTACTTTACACGGGTAATAGTTTGCTTTTGCTTCAAGTCAAAATACAGGCTTAGAGGATAACAAAAAAGATAGTTAATACTAAACCTGGTTGATAAGTAAAATGTCTCTATTCATGTTTATCCCACAGGGACTTAGATTCCAGCAGCTTTGAGCATGTGTTTGTCGGCGAGGCAAAGGATGGTAAAATTGTTGGTTTACACAACTGGTTACAGTTTTATCTGGAGGAGAAAGCTGGTCGAGTCGATTACCATGGATATTTTGGATTTAAAACGGTAAAAAATCAATATGCAAGGCAGATATAAAAGATGCTGTGTCTCCTTTTTTTGTACCAAATTAGTAAACATGTTATGATAAATGAGATTATCATTCCTTTATGCATTTGCTAGGTATACCTTTGACCACCTGTTCACTGGTCTGATGGTCCACCTAATGAGCCAGAGAGCACTTCTCCCTAGCTGAGTTTATAACAGGGTTGGTTTTGGTTTATCAGTTATGTATCCCTTCTGACAAGAACATACTTGGAGTTGTTTTTTTCCAAAAGTAACCTCATAAGCTCAGAAACCTCAGGTAAGAGAAAGACTGAGTATCATCATCTATTGTAGATATAAAGCCTGGTCTGACTTTTGTATCTTTCCTCACCTGGTACATTCTACTATAGTGACATCTTTTCAGTAAATGGGGTATGCCTGTGTCACAAGTCAAAGTCATTGTAATCAGTGTGACAGAGTAAACAGGTCAGAATGCAGGCATCACATATGGTTATCTGAGAGGAATGACTGCCATGTTGTTCCACTTAATAATATTCATGTATTTTTGTAGTCGCAGGATAATTGAAATTATAGAGGTAGTTCTCAACGATTATGCTACATACATCAAATTTTCAGTAAAATAGGACTGATTCATGTAGACTTATTTAATAACAAATACCAGCTGTGTATATATGGGTCGTGTTCCGGTTTTCAAATTTTCATTACATTTACTGTATAATATATTACGTATTTGGTCTTAGGTTTCCTTAACAAAGAAAGAGAGGGAGGGGGACGGGGGTGGGGGAGGGGGAAAGAAGTTATTATGTTGTAGTCTTTAAGCAGTATGACTTGTAATTTTAATTTTATATACAGTATTAAAGTTATTAGTAGGAGTTATTAGCTGTAAGATGCTGCTTGATTATTTCCTCTGCTGTATCTATTTATAAATTGACATTTAAAGATGCTATTCTATTTGTGTGCCTTTTTTTACAATCTTTGAGATTGCAGGTGGTAGGCATTGCTTGACTTTCAGTCTTGGAGGTTTACTGTAACTTGTATTATACTTAATAATTCATTCAAATAGTTGTATGGTCCAGAATATACACATATACTTGATGTTGTTATAAAATTTTCACATAAATTAAGTTTATAAGATTGATTGAATTGTGGAGTTAGTGCACCTCCCTATCTAAATTTTTCATCAATTTTGTCTTTCCTTAATTGCTTCCTAGGTTTCAAAGTTTAGGCAGTTGGCATCATTGACGAGTCCTATTAGGACAAAACAACTTTATGATGCAGTGTAATTCACTATTTGGCTCGACTCTTTTTCTGAATTTATATTGAAAGGTGATATTCACTTGTATGTCTTTAGTACAAAGTATGCCATCTTTCTTACAGGACACTAATGATGAATCCTTTCGTCTGATCACCCTCCAGTTTGAGATGGTTGATGATGAGGAGGAGGATGTTGGGGGCGTCAAGAAAATGAGCAGTATATTTCTTGGAACCAGTCCAGAGTTTGAATTGGCTGCATACACAATTCTGTACCTTACAAAAATGTTTGGTAGACACAACATTAAGATTGGAGAGTATGAGGTTATGACAGAATGTTATCCTTTTGGTAAGTTTGGTATTGGGACAGCCTATATTGGCTGTAGATAATCTGTCAGATTTTCTCATCCATCAAATATACACATTTAAAAACATATCTTATATAGTGTAGAAATATAAAGGTAAAGAGAGAGTGACTAACTCGCCACTGAGAGCTTATTTTATAACGAGGGTATACACATCTTGTAAGGACTGTAGAGGCCTTAGAGACATTGTTTATTATTGTGAAAAACCTACAACCTTCTTTATTAAACTTAAAAATTAAGTCGAGTGAGTCATTGATCCTTTGAGACTATAGGGTTTTCCATACATAACTTAAATTGTTTATGAAATTTGTGTGTAAAGAATGAAACTTTTTGATGCAAATTGTACTTTTTGTTTTAATAAATAAATAAAAATCTGTTCATTAAAAAATTTCATGTAGGTACATCTAATACTTGATACAGATTACATTGATGGGTTGGAGGGAGGGTGTGTATGGGTGTCAGTTTTTTTTTTCAAATCCATGCATAAGTAAACATTTAAAATTTATATGGCATGTCAAATTATACTTACATAATGAATAGTGTACCTGTTTTTCAAAACAATTTTCTATTTTACTGCTCAAAACAATTTGCTATTTCACTGCTGAGGGGTCCCAAGCGACATAAAGGGAAGTTTTTAGCAAAAAAACATGATTATATATAGCATAAGAGAAACACTAGATTTAGATACATCATGACAACCCTGGTGCAATAGCAAGAAAAGCAAACGGGAAAAGTTAGATGCTCTCTGTGGTTGGATGAGAAAGATGAACATGTTGAAATAACAAATAATTTGATCAGGTTGGTGAATATTCAAAATGCAATGGATCAACTCATCAATCCAAATAAAGAATATCTCCAAATATTGATTTTAAATGAAAAATGTCTGAAGTATCTCCATATATGGATTACAAATGAAAAATTTAAGAAATATCTCCATATATGGATTATTGATGAAAAATGTAAGGAATATCTCAAAATATGAATTATAAATAAAAATTAAGAATAATCTCACAATAAAATGAAAATGAAAAAAGGAGTAAAACAACAAAGGTTGTTTATTTGAGGTATTATGAACACAATATAGGCAGAAGTAAAGATTTGATATAAAGAGGGAGTGGTAAAGATTTGATATAAAGAGGGAGTGGTAAAGATTTGATATAAAGAGGGAGTGGTAAAGATTTGATATAAAGAGGGAGTGGTAAAGATTTGATAAAAAAATAGGTAGTTGCTACAGACAGGTGATTACTTCAGGTAGGTTTTATTTTGTATTTTGAAAGAGTTCATCTCTAAAGCAATGTAGGGAACCATATGCATGTTAGGGTATACTACCTGCTTCAAGGTCATACATTTAACAGGTTAAGTGATTAAAAATTCAAACTTTATTAAAATACTTGTTAGTTTATAAAGTAATCAAAAAAAGAAAAAGAAAAAAAAGAAAACTCAAATGAGTCCAGTGGCACAAGACAGGGAAATCAGAAGATGTCTTGTAGATTCTATTATCAATTGAGTTATATTATTTTTGAATGTGTGACATCATAATACATGTAACAGTAAAATAAATAATGGAAAACTGAGTAGGTTAAATTTGTTTCATAGTTATCAGTAGAGATTTGATTAATACCCGTTTGCTAGTTTGATATTAACAATGCTAGGGTAACCTACTACTAGATATTCTTTTTTTTTTTGGAAGGTCTCTCTCCTCTGGGTTTCTCAATTGCAGGAGATTTAGCATGACAACATTTCATTGGCATAAAATTGCCTTGAACCATTTGTTTTATCACAAAATACAAAAGAAGTTATATTCCAAAATGTTTTATCAGTATATTGATCTTAAACTGTTGATGCAAGACAGATATACAAATGTTGTTAGAATGTCGGAACCATTCATACAAGGTGGAGGAGACCTACAATGACATAAGACTACCTCCAAATATGATACAGTTGTCAACTCTAACTCTGCCTGATATTAATTCTTGTCATATAATACTCGCATAATACTATCTTAAATTTTAAATACAAATTGAGCTTAATTAGAGTTTTATATTCACATTTTAATATGTATATTTTCTCACAATGTATTTTGTGTATTGCAGAATCGATTAAATTGAAATGTTTCAAAACTTTAACTACATTGATTTTTTGTATTATTCTTATCATATTTTGATATATGCTATTTTTCTTGAAACAAGGAATGAATTTTTGTGAAGCAATAACTCTGTTTTTATATACATAACCATTTTGTGAAGATCACAGCTGTGTTCGATTTAAGGGGTTGTTTGTATTTATTATTATTATTATTGGTGGTGATTGGTAATTTGTAGTATTTAATTCCCATGTTATGTTTAATCTTTTTTTGCCTTCTACGTAAACCAAATGATATTAATTATTATACTACACAAAATGAAACCTGATTTAGATATAAAACTATATAATGTTAATGTATTTTTTTTTATTTCACGTTACTAGATACAGGATTATCTACCTACAGAATATTACTCATTATATCTAACTTGCCTTTTACTGTTATATTACTTTATTTTCTATGTACATTTATTGTAGATACTAACTAATATTTATAAGTGAGATATCTGATGAAGTGACACTACAGTATGTTACTGTATAGTATTTTGTAGTATATAGTCTATGTACATGTATACTAGTTCAATCAATCAATTATTAACAATAGAGGAATTTATAGAAATTATTATTATTAGAAATAACAGGCTCAAAATGCATGAGTTTACCATGTGTATAATGATACTGATTACCTATTGCTTGTGTGATATACATGTTGTTCAGGGTCATTGCCAGTCTGACACTTGCCAGAGATAGAATGAACTTGTAACAGTACATTTAGATTTTGAAGTTTTGAGAAAATATAGCATGCATTTATGTTGTCCTTTATGATGCAACCAATATTGCAAATCAGATATTAATTTTCTGTCTCCAAGCATTGTTGTTTTTTGTTTTGACTTAAATCACTGCATGTGCAAATACTGTGCCTTTTTGAAATTGATATTATTTACATAAGAATCATTTAACATTAGCATTGATATATATATATATATATAGAGATGGGGAGAGCAGGATATTTTTTTAATGTTTCTAGATATAGTTCCTGGCTGGTCAATTATACAAGTGCTGAAAAACATTATATGCTCTTCAAACTTTACATTATGAATTGTTATTGCCTGTTTGTATCTATACCTGGCAACTTTTGATTGGGTGATGGGTTGTTCAAATCACCTCGTCTATGGTCTGTTGTCTGTCAGTAATTAATCCTTTTTATCACTATTAAGATCTACTAAAAGGATATTTCTCCTATTTCATCCTCCTGGTCCCTTGTTGTGCTCATCTAAATTTGAGTCTGATATTAAAAATAAAATGACTACTAGGTAGCCATCTTTGATTTTGACATTTGAGATTGTTATTGCTATTTCTTAAAAAGTATTGAAAGGATTTTTCTGAAACTGGATATGTCGTTGTACATGTACAAGTTTAGAGTGTGATTGGGTAAAAACAAAATGACCAGTGGATTGTTATCTTGGCTTTTGACAATCTAAGTTATCCTTCTTTTTTTAAGAAGCGCTTGAAGGATATTTCTCAAACTTGATGAATAAGTTTTCCTTGGTTGCTTGTTGTACCATTCTATTTTGATATTGATTGGGAAAACCAATTGCCATACAAGTGAATTTCTTGGATTTTGACAGTTGGAGATGGTTATTGCAATTTTTTGAGATGTACTGAAAGAATAATTCAGAAACTTGAAACAGGTATATGTGGGTTTCCCTATAATCTTGGTTGTGTCTGTTGCAACTTTCAGTACCAATACAGTATGATCGGGGAACATCTTGGATTTCGACAATGAAATTTTGTTATTGCTTTTTCTTGAGAAGTACAAGATGGATTTTAATCCGACTTCATTTGTAAGCCTCCACTGATCTCTAGATGTTTTTGATAAATGGCTGACATGTATGGCTTTTGACATGAAAGATTGTTAAATGCTAGATCAGTAAGACAAAATAGTTAACAGAGAAAAGAAGGGAAAAGATCAAAGTTTTAAGAACAAACAAAGATCAAACATGATGGGCATTAAGAACCCTTTGGGATCTCTTGTTAAATATGAAATGAGAAAGTTTTGGATGATAACATGTCTTAGATGACAAAATACAAAAAGTGGGGAAATTTTGATTACTTTTCTTCTTGCAATATGTAAATATGAAATAATTTACACATAAAAAAGACATCTTAAGGTAACAGGTAAATCTACTGTATATTCACAAAATGTAAAATTATTAAATTTGATAATTATTAAATCTGATTCAAATCTTTGCTTCAGTTCAGTGAATTACACCATGCTTTTTTAACATTAATAGAGTGAAGTTTACAAAACAAGATCAGCATGTAGACAGAGTGTACATATACATGCATGTAGTAAGGAACAGGAGCGTATATTAAGATATGTTTTAATCTGATTGTATACTATGTACATGTATTTACTTAACTAATCATGACATTTATCAAATAAATCTCCTAGCTTTCATGTTGATGTTTATTTATCTTTTAATCTTTAAATATTATATCACATTGTGTTTTACTCATCCCAGTATATAAATACAGACAGGTACACTAGTTAAAACTACCTGTCCTAGGAGAAACATGGTAGAGAAAATGTGTTTGGGGGTGGGGGGGGGGGAAAGTTTTATATATCATATTTCATGTATCGCTCTAAAATACTATTTCTTCATTAAAGTTTTAGATTGTTTTCATAACAGATTTCTAAAAGTACACACATTCAGGTGTGTGTATATATATATATTCATATAAATATTGATAAATATACGAAACCTTTCTAAGGAGAAATATTTTAATTAGATAAAATGACATTGTTACAAGAGATTTCAGAGTAGATATGTGTGTGTCCAAAGTTATTGATTCAAGATCTCTCATTAATTCATCATGTTAATGTTATTGTGATCTTTCCTGTACTTGTCTGTTGGACCGACAAGACATTTCTACAGTTACTAAGGGTAACAGATGTTGTGATTACAAGTTCATATTACTCTCTGCAGAACTATCCTGTCAAATAACATGAATGATAAGGTGTATTTCTGGTATCTGTCTGATACACCTATATTTTCCTTCAGCTTTGTATAATCAAGGTCCCTAAGGAGCTAACATATACTGGGGTATCTTTCAGAAAGATCCCTCATTACTGTTTTTAGAAACTGCAATATGAAACATACCAATGGCAAAGTTGATTGAAACAGCCTTTATTCATACCTTGCATCTCTCGCGTATCATAATAAAACATGAAATGTGATCTTGACACGTGTGACTTCCAGCTATAAGGAAATTAACACTAGCACCACATACAGTAAATAATATCTGTCTTTGCAAGTACCACCTAGACATGATAACAAATTTCAGTAATCCAATTCTTACAAGTGTCCACATTGTATTTTATAGTCCTAAATGTAACTCCAGACTGAATCATTGGAAAGTATGAAATAAATCTGCTTATCAAGCACAATATACCACAATGGAAAGTGGAAGCCATGAAGATGACCAGCTGTGATGTCAGAAAAGAAATATTTCTACAATCATCTTTCTAAAATTGACCAAGCAAGATAACAGCTGCATGCCACTTTAAATATTGTGCAGCTTAGGTTTTCAGTCTGCTACAAAGTAATGAAGCTACTTGATATAAGACTAAAACGTAGATACACTTGTCATCTTAACAAAAAGTCTCTGAGCAGGAGCGGTACCAGGCACAGACGAAAGTCTTTGTAGTATGAATGTACACAAGTAAAGGAAGATCTATTTATCCCACAGGTCCATGATCAGCTGATCTGTTGGTTAACACTGTCAAGTATATTAGTTTTATGATCAGCTGGATTAGCTCTGGCCTCGTAGTTACATATGGTTACTTCATGTCGATGGACCTGCAAATATAAAATCCTTAATACAACAAATACATATATTTGTGTTAATAAGCATTGAAATTTTAGTGTTATAACAGAGTTAAGGAGTCTTATTCTACGTCAGTTTTGTATGTACAAAAATGTTCATAATGGAGGTTGGGTAGTAGGAATAGTCTGAGACTATGACCCTTAAAGGAAAGTGATCTTATTTTAATAATATTGCATATTTCATCTGATCTGAGCACAATTTTGTAAATTTACTTTGCAAGCCTATAATTCTGAAAAAAAAATCAATGGGCAATATCTATTTCTCAGCTTATATAAAACAAGTAGAAAGAGTAGAATATATAATTTAAATATAATTCCATCAGATAAAGTTTCCAGTATAAGGTTAGCAGTCTTTAAAGCCAAGCACACCATAAGTTATAGAAACACATGGATGGAACTAGATCAAGTCAAAATAGAACTCAGAATGATAATAACAATGTTTGGCTATTACAATGACCCCTTTCAATATCAGATCAGGGAATTTAATTGTGAGCTGATCCAATTACCTCTGTAAAATCTCCTCTTAGACCAATGTAGTAGACTTTTGTGTTGTCAGCACCAAAATTAGTCGGGAAATGGATGGAGAGGTGTTCCACAGAATTAAATCTAGCTACTCTGAAACAAAAGTTGTATACATTTACACAGGTAACGTTTTATAACTTTCTGTATTTGAAATGCTGCTGTCCACGAAGCGCATAATTATGTTAAAACCCCAGTGGGGATTTGGTTTTGGTATAACTAGGAAACTATATAATACAGGTACATATTTAATTTTAAGTTTTGAATAGGCATTGGGTGTACCTTGGACTCTGTACAGTATTCCAAGACCCAGAAATACCTGCCCTTAAGACTGCACTGTATTCTAAGGCCCTGGTAAGGTCTAAAATAATGTAAGAGTTTCACTGTACAGCATTATTTCAAGGCCCCAGTAAGGTCTGGGTAAGTAAGACTTACACTGTACTGTATTCTAAGCCTTCAGTCAGAGCTGGGTGTATGTAATATCTACATTATATTCTAAGGTCCCAGAAAGGTCTATGTATATGAAGGATTTACTTTGTACTGTATTCTAAGGCACAGTAAAGTCTGGGGGTAAGTAAGACTTACTTTGTACTGTATTCTAAGGCACAGTAAAGTCTGTGAGTAAGTAAGACTTACTTTGTACTGTATTCTAAGGCACAGTAAAGTCTGGGGGTAAGTAAGACTTACTTTGTACTGTATTCTTAGGCACAGTAAAGTCTGGGAGTAAGTAAGACTTACTTTGTACTGTATTCTAAGGCACAGTAAAGTCTGTGAGTAAGTAAGACTTACTTTGTACTGTATTCTTAGGCACAGTAAAGTCTGGGAGAAAGTAAGACTTACTTTGTACTGTATTCTAAGGCACAGTAAAGTCTGTGAGTAAGTAAGACTTACTTTGTACTGTATTCTAAGGCACAGTAAAGTCTGTGAGTAAGTAAGACTTACTTTGTACTGTATTCTAAGGCACAGTAAAGTCTGTGAGTAAGTAAGACTTACTTTGTACTGTATTCTAAGGCACAGTAAAGTCTGTGAGTAAGTAAGACTTACTTTGTACTGTATTCTAAGGCACAGTAAAGTCTGTGAGTAAGTAAGACTTACTTTGTACTGTATTCTAAGGCACAGTAAAATCTGTGAGTAAGTAAGACTTACTTTGTACTGTATTCTAAGGCACAGTAAAATCTGTGAGTAAGAAAGACTTACTTTGTACTGTATTCTAAGGCTCCTGTTGGATCTGGATGTAACTCAAACATCTGGTCAGGTTCCGCACCGCATGTGTCAAAGGTCATATTTGGCCGGTTTTTATAACTGAAAAAAGGTATTCAGACTTCTATTACATTCTCACCAGGTTCAGGTAATCAAGTGTTCAGACTTACATTCTCACCAGGTTCAGGTAATCAAGTGTTCAGACTTACATTCTCACCAGGTTCAGGTAATCAAGTGTTCAGACTTACATTCTCACCAGGTTCAGGTAATCAAATGTTCGGACTTACATTCTCACCAGGATCAGGTAATCAAGTGTCAGACTTACATTCTCACCAGGATCAGGTAATCAAGTGTCAGACTTACACTCTCACCAGGTTAAGGTAATCAAGTGTCATACTTACATTCTCACCAGGTTCAGGTAATCAAGTGTTCAGACTTACATTCTCACCAGGTTAAGGTAATCAAGTGTTCAGACTTACATTCTCACCAGGTTCAGGTAATCAAGTGTCATACTTACATTCTCACCAGGTTCAGGTAATCAAGTGTTCAGACTTACATTCTCATCAGGTTAAGGTAATCAAGTGTTTAGACTTACATTCTCACCAGGTTCAGGTAATCAAGTGTCAGACTTCCATTCTCACCAGGTTCAGGTAATCAAGTGTTCAGACTTACATTCTCACCAGGTTCAGGTAATCAAGTGTTCAGACTTACATTCTCACCAGGTTAAGGTAATCAAGTGTCAGACTTACATTCTCACCAGGTTCATGTAATCAAGTGTCATACTTACATTCTCACCAGGTTCAGGTAATCAAGTGTTCAGACTTACATTCTCATCAGGTTAAGGTAATCAAGTATTCAGACTTACATTCTCATCAGATTTGGATGAGTGTCCTCTTCACCACCAATGACAATAATTCCCTTTAACTTCACACTGCCAGTAAATCTGGAAATAAACAACTGCTGAGTTACAAGTTGGATTAAAGGGTTTTGTAGCATCTACACTGTGCTACATCAACATCTAAACAATATTAGCTTATCTGTTCATATCAATAATTCTACAGGAGCTGCTTATTATTTTTAAAACTTACAAAAGTCTTTGTCCTTTGTCCTTGCTATCACTGTTCTTCAGACCTTACCAAAAGAAAAATGATGGTACTAGGGCAGTAGGCTAGACCTAAATATCTTATAAGACATTTTAGTGAAAACTGGAAGATTTATCTCCCCTGGATGGAATTCTTCGACTGACTTGATGTGATATTTTTGGTGCCCAACTTCTCTTCTTCTTTCCATGACCAGCTACTGAACTAAACAGACACACTTCTCCTTTGCGAAAACTATCTCTGTATTACATCTTAGTTTGGAGCTGGGAGCAATCCTGGAGAGTACAGTGTGAAATATACACACTGTGTTTTCCAAATCATTTATACAATTAGAATAATTATCTCTCATTGACCATCATCTCACTCTTAACTGAAATTGAATTTAAGTATTGGTGCAGTTATTGATACTTGGGAGTGAGTGTACACAATGGCAGCAGGTTAACATCATTGTTATTAACTTTGTATATTTTCTGAGTTAATATTGTGTTTGGGCAAAACAAGCAGTAATATCACAAATCCTAAATATAAAACAGTAGCCATCTTTAATGCCAACCCTGTGGAATTCTACTGAGATTACCACAGAGACTTCTAAGTAACTAGAATGTTTATGATGATAAACAGTAGTGTTTAGCCAGTAACATGTTGGCAAGAAGGGTCATATTGAATACAAGCAGTTCAATTGAAAGGCCTTAACCCATTTTCAAGATCACATGGGTCAAACCGAAGAGTATTTTTCAATTTAATCCTCTTTGATGACAATAGATATAGTATCTAATATATGGTTATTGTCATAATTGGACTTACCTGGTAAATCACATGTGTTTGTTCAATAGAATGACCTTGATTCATATCAAGAGTAAGAGATTAAAATAGCATTCATAAAATGAATGTAACTTCTTGAAGACTAAACCATGTTAGGACTAAATTGTCCACTTCTGACAATAAATAAATAAATATATGGGTAAAGGGTAATAGCAACAAAAACAAGACTTACGGTATGTTAAACAGCAATTCCTCATCAGCATCACTTTCCACAAACTGCAAGTAAAACATTCTCATACACTAACTTTTCTATAAAGACACATTCATAAATACATATGAAATGCGGGTGATACCTGTTAAGCAGGATATAATTGTGTAACTTAGGGATAAAACATTAAAAAAAATCTTATAACTGTGACACATTCATCAGTAAGCTGCTGTACTTGCTGACCTCACAACACTCCCTACTGTGATATCTGTGTGCTGCTGTAATTGTTGACACCCCAGCTGTCTCTACTGTGATATCTGTATGCTGCTGTAATTGTTGATTCCCCAGCTGCCTCTACTGTGACATCTGTATGCTGCTGTAATTGTTGACTCCCCAGCTGTCTCTACTGTGATATCTGTAAGCTGCTGTAATTGTTGACTCCCCAGCTGTCTCTACTGTGATATATGTATGCTGCTGTAATTGTTGACACCCCAGCTGTCTCTACTGTGACATCTGTATGCTGCTGTAATTGTTGATTCCCCAGCTGTCTCTACTGTGACATCTGTATGCTGCTGTAATTGTTGACTTCCCGGCTGTCTCTACTGTGATATCTGTAAGCTGCTGTAATTGTTGACTCCCCAGCTGTCTCTACTGTGATATCTGTGTGCTGCTGTAATTGTTGACACCCCAGCTGTCTCTACTGTGATATATGTATGCTGCTGTAATTGTTGACACCCCAGCTGTCTCTACTGTGACATCTGTATGCTGCTGTAATTGTTGACTCCCCAGCTGTCTCTACTGTGATATCTGTAAGCTGCTGTAATTGTTGATTCCCCAGCTGTCTCTGCTGTGATATCTGTATGCTGCTGTAGTTGTAGACCCTTAATTCTTCCTACTCTGATATCTGTATGCTGCTGTACTTGTTGACCTCTTAATGCTACCTACTGTAATATTTGTATGCTGCAGTACTTGTTGACCCCTAACTCTCTCTAATGTGATATCTGTATTCTGCTTTACTTGTTGACCTCTTAAATCTACCTTCTGTGATATCTGTATGCTGCTGTACTTGTTGACCCCTAGGTCTCTCTTCTATGATATAGGTAGACTGCTGTAATTTTTGTCTCCCTATCTCTCTCTGTTGTGATATCTGCATGCTTCTGTACTTGTTGACAAATTACTCCTCAAGATTGCTATTTTACTATGCCTAGCCCTTTGTTGTGCTTTGCCTTAACTTATATAGTTATACAGTGTATAAATTATTTCATAATACACAAACTGTAATTCCCTACTTATGTCTGTTGTAGCAGATCTGTGTAGATATGTTGTGATGTTATGTTAGCATATCATGTTTTGTTTTCTATGTTTTGTTACAGAAAGAGCACTACAGTGTTTTTAAATACAGATTCTACAATGTACATTGTTGTAATGTAATAATACCAATACTTGTGATGTGTGTATTTTCTCCCTGGTAATGAAGTGTAAAGTATCTAAATGTTATGTCTTTTTAAAGAATACTTTGATGCAAAAATCATAATAAAATGATTTCCTAATTTTCGTAAGCAGGTGTTTTTTAATTCTTGCATTAATGCTAGGTATAGCTTCCAGGTCAAGCATCTGCCGTTGAAATAATCAGAGTGTATTTTGAAACTTGTGAGTAGCATTTCATTTTTCTGAGTGCAATTGTAACGTGCAGCCTAGCTTTGCACATGGTGGGTAAGTCTCTGATTCCTTGCAGAGATACTAGCTAACAAATGCCGATATATACATATAGCGTGGAACAGCAAACTCTACCTGAGTTAACAATAAAACTAACGAACGAACTAGTATTCACATGGACTGCTGTCCCGACACAGATTGTTCTGACTAGCATGTGAGCGTGAGTGCAAGCTCGACACCCAGTGACTTCACCTAACCCTAGTTCCAACTACTGAACTAGTCGCCAAGCAATACCACTTAGTCGGTCCTGACTAAGCACTAGGTTGTCCTACCAAGTAAGTCAACCCTTGCTCGTGTTCCTAGCTCGGGCTCTAACCTAACCCTATAGCTAGCTACCCACAGTCAAAAGTCCAAGCTTCGGTGAGAACTAAACAGCTCTCGCACCAGCTTGACAAGCGGTTTCGGAAAAGCCACTATTTCAGACGTTCACCCACCACCTGTTTCAAATGACTGTGTTACTTGCTTAGTAAGAAGTCTTTCGTCGTCTGTGTATCTCTGAATGCTTCACCAACAGTCAGTATAACAGCGCTCGCAATAATTCAAAGTAATTTCTATTTACATGTATAATAAACTCTTTCATTAGGTGTGACAATTGTTGATATTTAATTTACCATAAATGATGCATACTAAAATATTAACATAGTACAAAACACCTTTCCATATCTTACTACATAAATATAAACATTTGTATTAATCGACGAAAATCATTAGATGAACAAATTAACCAATATGTAATTAGCTATAATCATATTCAAGGGACATAAATCTTATACTTCAATTTTCATTACACAATAATAAATCTGAACCTGTTAGACAGTTTCACAATGAAGAAACAACACAATGTTTTGATCTGTGCTTGGATTTGATTTTATCTACTGAATGTTGTGATTTAGGTTGTTCCTGATACATCCATTGGAAATTTCCCTCAACACATGTCCAGCATCTTAAATACACTAATTACACTTTAATGACATGTGTACTTTTTATGCAACAGTTTTATACATGCCTTTGTTCACTTACTGGAAATTGAATAAACATTTTCCTTTCCTTTGCCTTCTGTTGCTGAGATATCAATGTTTTTTAGGCTTATAAATAATACACTAGACGATCAATGGCATGTCATCCAACATGTTCAACAGCTCTCTTCAGGGCCACAAAATACGATTGTAATATTTAGTCAGTAATAACCATCATTATGAATGGCTGACTGAGTGTTTGGGAGTCCAACTGACCACAAATGGTAAAAAATTACATTGTTTGTATGCTTACTTGGAAGTGGGGCATTTATTTCCGTCCTATTTCAAAGAGCTGGATTTCTGATTAGTAACTGACACCCAACTGGTGTAAAAAAAATGGACAGATCATCAGAATAGTTTTATTATATTGACTAAGTATTGATAAAGTACTGCCAAAAGCTGTCTTTCAAGCTAGCCATTTCCGAAGTCGGTTTCGTGTTTAGTTTCAGCCTTGCAAAATTTTGTTAGATGCATAATGTATAATGTTACCAAAAAGGAACATCGTAGGTCAGAACATCAGAAATTCCCTCATCAAAACGTCATGAGTAAGGTGTTGTTGCTATCCAAACTTCGTGGATATTTCAATTAAACAAAATCGATCCACCCGGTTAGTTTCAGTTTTCCCAAATAATTTACTTTGCTTGAACAGGCTGATTTGAAAGATTATTTGCAGCTGAAAAACATAAATGAAAGTACTGTATGTTACCTTTTCCTTATCTAATCGCTTGTCCCAAGGTTTGAAAACATCTTTTCCAGATCCATCAACAGCTTCATTCAGACATTCAACTCTCTCAGTATCAATTTTCAGAAATAAACTGTATGCAGCAGCCTTTTCAGCTTCAGTAATATGATCATGGTCGTCAGATCCACCACATCCATGACTATGGCCATGTCCTGACATTTTCACAACCCTTAAAACGTGATGTATATGATCCAACTGTTCAAGTTTCACTTTCGGATGAAAATATTAATGCCCGCCTCTAATTTCACAAAGTGCGTGTGCTATTTGACGCGAGTATATTTAAAGCATAAAAATGACCGTGAACACTGAAGCATTAGTCTTACATTCAAGTATAACGTTTTAACGATCTTGATGAAGTAAAATATAAAATGGCGACGAAGGGAGTGGACGAAAACGTGGAGCTAGGGTTTTTGGAGGAAACAAATCCATGTTTACTACGGAGTCACTATTTCCCAAGTAAAGTTGGAGGGAAACCATCATGGCTGTCTCTGAAGCAACTCCCTATAGACATAAGTTGTAAAACTTGTGGTAAACCAGCCGTTTTTCTTTTGCAAGTCTACTCCCCTGATGACAAAGTATCGTCTGCTTTTCATCGAACAATTTTTATCTTCGTTTGTCGGAATCTGGGTTGCTCAACGAAAAATTCAAATGATAACTTTTTGGTGTTTAGGAGTCAACTGCCTCGTCAAAATGACTTTTACAGTCCAAATCCTCCAAACGAAAATACTCCGACCACTGGCCCTGTTCCCGATGAGGATTTGTGCCATGTGTGTGGATCCTTAGGACCCAAACGGTGCGCTAAGTGTCACTTAGCTTCCTACTGTAGCAAAGACCACCAGGTCATCGACTGGAAGAGTGGCCACAAAGCAATTTGTTCCTCGAAAGGTATAATCAAATACACATAATAACAGATAAATCAGAATGGAACATTCACATCGAAGTCAAACTGTTACCTAATCTTTTTTATGATTAAAAAAAAAATCGAATTTAGTATTTTTATATGGCGCACAACAGTATACACCCTTCCTATGTCAAAGAAAAAATGCTTCAATGTATCATGATTTATTGATTAATAAAAAAGAAAGAGTTGTTGTATGGATGCAGGAGGCAAATGATTGACAATCCTATAGACCTCACATGCTAAAGTTCCTTTACTTTGATAGGTAAAAAAGATTCTGTTGAAAGAAATCTTTTATAATCAGTGCTGTAATGATTAAAACAAATTGCAACAATTGCACTACTGATTTTAATAGACAGGAGTCAACAGTGCTATATAAAAAGAGATGAAAAAAGATAAACTCATGGATGAATCTAACTCATTGCACATTGACAAGAAACACACTCCAAAAAAATGTTCGCAGTCGCACATAAAAATAACAGGAAAATCCCTCAAAGTATCAATGCAGTATGTAAAGATGGACACTTCAAGACTGATACAATATATAAAACTAACATGCTTAATGAATACCTGGTAGTTCAAATAACAAAACTGCCCAATACCACACAAGGGACATTCACATCGCACAACAAGGTGGAAACAAATTTCTGAACAACATTAGCCCACACAAATAAAAGCACCTAACAGGCACAACAGAATACTAGAATAACTTAAGATATCACAGTATCTATCCCCACTAAAGTTTTCACACACTCACTCAATAGAGGTATACTTTCACTAGACTGGAAACACACAGACATAATCCCAATCTACAAAAAACATTAAGACAATACCATCATGGCAACATAATTATAATTGTATCTCAAATTCCATAATGCTAGGGCAAAATATGAGCAAAAGAAAGATTTACATAGAGACTCCTGAAAAAGTACAAGGATAATAAGACCAGGTGTTTCAGAAAAGTAAAGGTCTTCTGCTTCATTGACGACACCCGCCATGTAAACCTTGGTCAATCCAAGTAAGTAATCTCAAGTTCTCATATGAGAACAGGGTATATAACAACAGAACCACCAGGCAAATCTAGCAAGCATCAAATACCTCCAGCTTCATATTGGTCAAACAAACAAAATATTTCTCAATGAGATCACTATGGCAACCATAAAACGTCCCCATGATTTTCATCAACCTGCATCTTTTGAACCCTTGTGTTACGAGTTTGTCAAGTCAGTTGACAACTTCTTACACGAAATCATGATAATGGGAACTGGCCTTTGAATATTGAATCACCTGTGTGACATGTAAGAAAGGACACAAGTACAACCCAACTATCTGCCCTTAAGGGGAAGCAATTGAACAAAATACAAGCAACATTGGGAGTAAATCCTTGAGGAACCTCTTTGGAATATCATCAGCATCACAATCAAACACGAAGAAACACATAACTAGAAACTCCATAGCCACACAAAAGAACACGTAGACTGCAGTCAATATGTAGGTGTTACACACAAAACAATTTTCACTGGAATAAACACATATTCATCACAGTAAATGCAAACATAATCTTAAACACAACCATGAAGTCAACTCACAATAAAAAAAAAAAACCATGCATACAAAGAAACATGCCCACATTACAAACCAAATTACACAAATTAAAAAGTACAACTCAACAATATGCCAAAATACCGACTCACTCACAACTATTCTATGACGGCCCACACTGCAATCATGCAGATTACAATCCAGACATATTCTTTTCTAAAAAATCATATTCATAGTACCAAGAAGTTGATATCCTCCTGATCCCATGCACATCACTTTTCATAGACACATACCTCCTTCAAAGAACACCTGTACAAAATATTCCTACCTCCCACATACAATTACACAATGAAACCTCCTTCCTGTAGCAGCAGTACAATGTACTATACAAGAGGACTTCAAGGCACATATCCCTATACAGCCCTTGAAGCTGCACATATTAAATCACCTCATCAGCTTATATCTTTTATCCTCTACCTGCACAAAATTGTTTTCAAAAAGCCCAAAAGTCATCATAAACTGATGCATTCCTGCAACCCCCCTGCACCTAACCTGGGGACACTACCCGTACTTGCCCACCCATGAGAATATAATTATCAATATAGGTGGTGTTTTTTCAAATGCCATGCAGGAAAACACAATTTCATGTCATTGTTATAAAGCTTTCCAAATTTGAAAGAAATTGATTGAAAACTGAAAGAGAATATCTCTGACAGGTTAAAAAACACCCATGGAATCAAAATGCTGTTCATGGCCAAGAAAACTTTCATACATAATACCATATATGAAACAGTAATATTCAAGATACATTTTTAAACATTTTTAAATGTGAAATAATTGTGTTAAATCCTATGTATGTACGTGTATATATCATATGATATATAATACTTCTTAGCCAAATATTTTGTGAATGTTCAGCCTGTATCATGAATTGTTTTTCATGCTGTAACTAAAAAAAGTAATTACCATCATATGATCACTTTGTAGAAAAAACACAGACAAAATATGTGAAAGGTGTGCTGTTCCCAGAATTTGAATTAATCACAGAACCAGAAGATTTGGATGATGTTGAATCTGATGAAGAAAATTATACAAAAGGAGAAGAGGAAAAGTGGCAAGAATATGAAGACTTTCTCAAATCCGATAAAGCAGGCAGTCTGATTCCAGATAATGTCGCAAAAAACGAATTAGAGAAAATGGCCACAGTAGAAAGTATGGATGACAAGATTTTCAGAAGATTTAAGGAAAGGATAAAGACAAATCCTGATCAAGTATGTTCATAAATTGATTGAATTATACTCTACATAAGAAATTACAAGTTCTGTGTATCTTTCATTGACAATGTTAAAATGATGGTTGGGGTTTAAATTCATTCATACATGCAAGCGGTATAAAAATTTCAGTAGTAGAAGAGCAGTTGATTGAGAATATATTTAGTGGTAGAAGGTATGTGAGGGTAATGAGGTAGTTGGGATTTGTGCATCAAGATACAGCTGGTGCCCAGTAGAAGTAAGATTGTCTGTCTCTCTGTGTTTTTTTCACAATAACAATCGAAGAACAGGGAATATTTTTATGAGATCTTGTTTGAAGATTTTCCTTGAGCCTTGTACATTTTATGTTCAGTTTTTAGACAAGTATGTGTATGTAATGTTTCTGAAGCCTAAATTAAACAAATTGTTTATCATTTGTGCAAAATAGTATTAAACAAATTAACACAAGTTAGATTTTAAAGAAACATTTTCACAAACACATGTACTTGAAATTTCACTGAAGTGAATTTATCTGTAAATTTTTTGTCTGAAACATCCTTGGGTGAAGGTTAATCAATTTGTATAAACAGTGGGTCTCAGCCAGTGGGACAGGATGGAAAATAGGGAAATTAAAGCAAATTTTATAAAATCCTTCTTCTTTTATCTGTAGGAAGGTCAGGATTCTGTCTCAATTTGGTCTAAATCATCCTAGGGTGAAGATGAATCAATTTTGTCAAAACGATGGACCTTGACCCCCAAGGGTGGGAGGGACAGGGCCCAATAAGGGAATTATAGCAAATTCTTTAAAATCTGTCTACTTCTATACAATTGCCTGGAGTTGGGCCCATTTGGTCTAAAGCAACCTTGGATGAAAGAGGCTTCGGTATAACAGTACTTGGTCTTGCTGACCTTAGCAGGCAGAGGGGTGGGGGCCAAAGAGGAAATAGATATTAACCTTTTGAATTCCTTTTTTCCTTTAGTTCTGATGAAGTTATTTCAATCAAACAAAGCTTGGTGAGTGATAAGGCTCTATGGGCCTCTTGCATCTGAATTGTGGTGATTTTGACAACTTTAGAGCTTGCATGGTACAGGTACATACAAAGGTTACATAGATGTTATGTCTTTTAGATTTTTCTTCCATTCGATTATTAATCGTTCTTGGTACCGTTGATACAAAACTTTTAAAGCTGGATGAGAAATAAAGAATGTTGGTGTGAATTAATTGTTTTTGATGATTATAGGTTTTGAGGTATCATAAAGGAGGCCAGCCATTATGGGTGTCAGCAAATCATATCCCTAAAGAAACAGACATACCAATTTGCTTATGTGGAGCTAAAAGGCAGTTTGAATTTCAGGTAAAGGAAGTGAAGAGAAGGTTTATTCTTCAGTTCATTTTATTTTTGTTATAATACTTTGAACAACTGGTTACTACATTTTTCTACACCAGGAAAGTCTCCGATTTGATTTCATATTGCTGCATTGGTCTATAGATCATCACCATTAAAATATTATGTCAAGGTTTTCAAATTGAAGGCTTGTTAAATTGAGATGTTTTATGTGAGATTTTGGATTCTAATTCTACAGTAAAGATGCTTCAGTTTTATTCCTGCCAAAATTCAAACATCTGTATTACTGAAAATAGTTTCATTCTCATACCCAACAAGTTGAATATTCAAAAGCAACAAAGTTGAAATAAGTTTTCTTCTCCAAGCAGTTAAAACTTGTAGCTGAACAAGTAGCTAAGTTCTTGTATTACTTATATTGTTGACATGTTTAATTGGTAAGAAGAACATTCAAAACAAATTGCAAGGAAGTAAGTATGATTAAGTTAATGTTGATAAAAAGTTTTATTGAAGTGGGGATTTTTCTCATCATTAATTTGTATTATAGTTCTTTCTTAAAATCACAGTCAATACATGTAATTCTGATGAAAAAATCATGCCAACATATGACTTTGTAATGATTAATTCTGCTGGGTAGAAGGTTGCCTTAACAAATTTTTGTCAACCTACTTTAAATACATCATTTGTGTATTATAATAATGTTTTAAATAAAACTTTTAATATTTTCATATGATATATAGATGAAAAATGACTGATAGTGTATGTACTTTTGTAGGTGATGCCACAAATGTTGAGTCACTTACAGGTTGACCAGCTTGGTGACAGCCTGGATTGGGGAATTCTGTGTGTGTATACCTGTAGCAACAGCTGTCAAATTGGCAATGATTATCAATCAGAGTTTCTCTGGAAACAGGACTATTCCTCTGACCATAAGTAACTAGCACCACAAGCAGTGACAGAGAGAAAAAGCTAATTCTATATTATGAAATGCTGTGCATTTTGGATGGCACTTTCTACTAAGTGGAAGCCTCTTATCTGACAACATATTATTGAGATACACTGTGTACTTGTTAAAAAATGTATGTAGTTATAACATATGTAAGCCAATATTCTGGCATTTGACAATTCTGAAAACTTAAAGAGCTTACATTCATTAGAAGAAATATTCTCCAGGCAATACAACACATAGATAATTTGAAAGAAATTTTTGTGAGATTAAATGTTTTTATCAGATATGGAACTGATCATGGTTTTATTGTAATATGTGAATGTCATCATGCATTTGATCCTTTGAGGAATTCAAGGAAACTTGATAGATTTGTAAGAGATGACAGATTGTCAGTAGGGTAGTAATGATACATGTCTGAACAGAAATGTCTGATTTGTCTTTCATGGTTTCAGGTGCCTTTTGGAGCGTAAACACTTTCCTAGATGCCACTTAAACGTACACATAATTCTTTTGTCTGAAGTTATGTGGTTTTTTTTTAATTTCATGGTCTGCCTAAAGTAAGGTATAGGATGATAAATCTTAAACGAACATTTCATGTTTCAAGACTGGCTCAAAAGATCACTTAAGAGGCCCATAGAATCTGTGTCGCTCATCTAGTTTAGTTTTCTGAAATTGATTGATTTAAACGATAGGAAAAGTAGCTAAAATATCTGTATCTATTTCCCTGGTTTACCACTGCCCCTCATGCCCCAGGGGACCAATACTCACCATCTACACAAATTGATTTCTTGATAGCGTTTTACCTAAGAATACTTCAGACCAAATTTTGGAAACCTAACATTTATATAAGATTGATTCCCCTTCATCCATGAATAATTCAGACCAATTTTGGGCAATATCCATTCATTTTAAAGAATTTCCTGTATTTCCCACTATTGGGCCCAACCCATCCCACTACTGGAGGCGAAGACATAACATTTATATAACATTGATTCCCCTTCACCCAAAAATGCTTCAGACCATTTGGTCAATATCCATTTATTTCTACAGGTGGATTAGGATTCCAAAGAATTTACTCTATTTTACCCTATTGAGCCCTGCCCCTCCAGCTTCTCAGGGTAGAGAAACAATATTAATACAAACTTGGTTCTTCTGCCCTCAAGGATGCCTTGGACCAAATGTAGTCAAAATCTGTTTTTTCATTCATGACTAGTAGAGATTTTGGTTAAAATGTTGATGGATTCTTTGACATACACTGGAGCCATTGCACCAGGTCAGCTAAACACAGAAATTACAAATGAATAACTCTCGCTTTCAGAAATTTTATTATCAAGAAAAACAAGTATAAAACATATATTTACTAACCATTTTTTAAAGATATTACAAGAAGCAATGAAAATTTGATTAGAATCTGATAAACAATTCCAATACACAATACATGTATTTATCAATATTTATTTGTTTGTCTTGTATACCATCCTGAAATTGACATTTATAGCTGAAATTTGCATGCTATTTCCTCTGCAATTGTAGAGTATCTAATATTTTTGGTATTACATCAAGAAAGCCACTGGCCTTGTAGAAATTGAGTCTGGGAAGAACAAGAAAAGTAAAAGAAAAACATTATTATACAGCAACATACATACAAAACAAATGGGACTCACAAAATTATCATTTTTAAAAGATATTGAGACATTTTTGTTACAGAGAAAGAGAGTTCTAAGATCCAATGTGATGTTTAAATTAAAATAACTAATAGTTTAGATAATGTAGATACACTTTCAAAACCAATCAAATAAAACACATTTATTCTTCTAAGGCAGTATTTCTTTTTTCTATAACCCTTACAAAGAAAGGGCATGGAGAATTAAACGGTAGAGGCAAATATGATAAATGTGAAACATGTTATGTGTGATATTATTTAATAAATGTACTCTATAATATTTGTTTACAATCAAGGTTGGTGAAACTTTAAACTAACCAACTAAACTGTATAAAATGGCTAAAAAGCAATATTATAGGTCGAACCATTCGCAGGTTGTTGTGCATTTGTGAGCAGTATAATTTTCATTAAGAATAATCTTTAAGAACAGTTTTAAGGTGCGGGTTTGATTCAAACATAAATGTATCTGTTGGGATTTTACTATGGCTTATACATGTTTATGTTTTGACATTTAATCAAAATTGATTCCATTTCACAAGCCTGATATTAATGGGTATTATTTGGGTCAGTCAGTCAAGTAATGAAATAAAAATTTCCCAAACATGTCAAGACAATGTTTTAGCAGTGACTGCCTTCTTATAGAACGGAAAATATGAATAACAGGAAAATTCTGACATCCAAGTACTTGGTATATGACACCTCCAAGTCTTCATGATTGGCTTTCTCTAAAATTGTTTCGTCACCCAGTAAAATCTGTCCAGCAGAATATTGTGCTTCTGTCATGATTTCATCCTACCAAAATATCAATCCTGTAGCATTCTGTAAATAATGTGGTTTTCCATATTGTAGTGTTCTGTTTAAACACAAAAGCATCCACATACACATGTATAAATGTAATAGTTATCTTCCTTTGGTGACGGAAGTGTTGGCTCCTTAATAGTAAGTCATGACAAAGAAACTGCAGATCAGAGATCAATTCTGGATATATTTCTGTATCAATGGTAAATGCTGCACTTTCAGTTATATTCTTCTATTCATTTCCAAATATAGATGAACTTGTTGTTAGTTAAAACTTTCTCACAGTGATTGGTTCCATCCTTGTCAGTAACTGTGCGGTAACATTGTGTTTGATGTGACCATATCCTGTAAAAATAAATATGTAAATTATTTTAAAATTTCATTGATGCAAGCTGGTATGATTCAAATTGGTATGATTCAAATTATATTTTATCACACATTTGGACAAATATTCAATACAGTAGATCTTAATAAATATTTTCAACTCTACACTCATTTCTAATATACAGTGCAACTTCCACAAACCAATCCTTCTAAAAACTGCATGGAACATTGATTTATAAAAGGGTGTCCTCTTTCTTATACCAATATCATTCAATTCCAAATACCACACCAATTTTGTGTCTGAAAATTACTTTTGAACACTGGTCTTTCCCAAGCAGTCAACTCTTGAGTTCAGACCAGAAGACAGTTATGAGATTTGTAACCTTTGTGTCAGAGGCGCATACATGTCATGGATAGGCTTTATATATAATATCTGCACTGATTACCACCGAGAAGATAAAAACAATATAGAACAAGTGCAGACACAGTAGAAATATACATGTACTTATGCAAAGTTAGAAAGCTGCATGAGCTGCAGAATGGTTTTTTTTTTCCACTTAATTGAAATATCTTTAAAGATTCTTTCTGGATTCAATAACCTGGACATGTACATGTTGTAAGAGATTGAAAAACATCAATATTGTAATGTAAAGAACAGAATGATCAGTTACATTCAGGTACAGATCCATCAACTTTGTTCAACATGCTTTATAGCTGGTATGGAGAAGTTTTACTGGGTATCAAAATGGTTAACATAGACAAGTATACCACTCCCAAAACACTAGATGGAGAAGTGGAACAATTAATACCAATTAGGAAATACCCTTGTGCCTGTATTTTGACCTCTTATTTAATAGCATTGTCAAAATATAATAAGGATAGTTGCAAATTTTAAAAATTCATTATTTTTTATAGTTTCCACAATTCAAACAACTGTGATTTTTTGACATATTCTTCATAGTTTAACCTTCACTCTATAGACAGTCAAATATTATAAAAATGAAACACTAACTTTGATTTTGCCTATTATTAAATTTTTGAATAAGACACTATGTAAGAGTATGGCAGTTTGTCTGAATGCCAGTATGACATTATATTTGTGCATCCGTTAATATCTATCAAATGACCAGGTTTCCTTATAAAATCTTGTGATAGAAAGGAAATGTTTTTCTTGACCTGTGTGTTACACTTGCTAAAAGGTCAAGGGTTTGTAGGTCAAATATCAAAACCCTTTTATACCTGTCACAATTATATCTACATTGCTGATTACTCCTTTGACAGAGATTTTTAAGGACAATACTTTAGATGTTGAATAGGTATATATCTCACTGAGACCTACCTGGTTTGCTTTGATGGTATCTGTCCAGTCCTGCTTGGCAATCTCTGGGATAGCTTTCATTAATACATTCTGTGCATTAGCAGCATTCAGCTTGAAGGTCTTGAGGACATTTTCAACGTTGACCTTTCAAAAGGAAAACATTTCTTTAATCATGCAGATAATTCATACAAACAAAATTAATGATATGTGTCTGATTTGAATATCATATGTGATGTGTGCCATTGATCACCATGCCTCATGGGGTCATGCAGACATCAGTTTGAGCAAAATACTTTATACTCTGTGCATAAGTAATGCAAAACATCCCAAAAAGGAGTGGTATACAATACTGAAATTTAAAATGTAATCAAATGTTTCTGATTTCACTAAATCAGAAACATGACTCCATGATGAAGAGTTCATAGTGCTACAGAATGTTAACTTTTTGAGATAATTTACTACAGAAATTTGGAAGATGTAACAAATCATTTCCTGATTATTCATAGATTTTAGGAGTATTATCTGGAAACCAAAAATACATAGAATATATATCCACATGTGATGGTCATTGTGAATTATCTCCCATGCTTTCTACTGGAGAATTTCTTTCAATGTTGGCAAAACTTGACGTGTTTCTTTGATAGGTTGGCGACTATTTTGAATGTATGTCACATTATTGTAAATACTGTAGAAGAAAGACCTAACTTATCATAGTTTAAAATTTAAAATTGGTTTAAAATCATTAATTCAAGGCAAGTTTGACTGTCTTTCCACTTCTGGTTAGGTCAACAATACATTAGTCCAGCAAGCTTTACCAGTGAACAGCTATGGGTTTTGTGAGATTTTGCATACTTGCACATATGAGGACAGCTATATATGAGTACACATGTTATTTACAAAATCAATTACAAAATACATCTGTACTCCAAAATTTAGGTATGAATACAAAATATATATATAAAAAAAGTTGTCACATGTATTTGAACACCAACTGTCATTTATCAAAACTCATAAACCTGTCTGGATGAGGATGGTATCAATTCTACCTATACAGCAACAAAGACTTACAGATTCTGTGTCTGCTCTCCAGCTGTCATAATCGGTGACCAAAGCCATTGATGCATAACAAAGTCCTGCTTCCTTTGCTAACACAACCTGATAACCATAAAAGGAGAGAGTTCATTTAAAATATCCTTGGTGTGTTTCTTTAAAGAAGATAACATATTATTGGTGAGTTACATCATTCAACTGTACTGTAAAATTTATGTTTATCTTGTTAGTCACCCATTGAGAACCAAAAGAAGGGACTGTAGGTTTGCACTGTCTGTCCATCAACAGGAAATTAATACTTTGACCTACATCAAAGACAAAGACTGTCCAACTCTATCTTCTAAACTACTGTGACAATGTGTTGCCTACTAAAAGTAGGTCACTCTGACCTATATTTTAACCTTTTATCTTACAACAAAGAAAAAGTTATCTAGGCCAAATTTCTATTAACTACCTGGTAATCATGGAAACTTGATACTTAGGGTGTGGGTTCACCTTGGTGAGGTGATGTGTATTTAGGGGACTGTATCTTGTATTGACCTTGGTGAGACAATCATTCACCTACCAAAAGTAGGTCACTCTGACCCAACATTTTGACCTTTGATCTTACATCAAAGAAAAATTGATCTGGGCCCTAACTTCTATTAACTAATCAGGTAAACTTAGTACTTAGAATGTTGGTTCACCTTTGTGAGGTGGTGCATCTTTAATTCACAAATTATCTTATATGGTTTAATGCTGCATGAACAGTAACACTTATTTTGAGGCAAGATCTCCTAGTAGTATTTGATGACTATCTAACTGAACATTTTGTGGGAGGTCCACCAGAATCTATCCAAAGCAACAGAGGCTCCGTGTCTTACCAAAGGCCAAAACCATGACAGCACTGTAATTATATAAATTATCTTGCATGTTGTGTACAGCTACATCAATTTAGGTGCAACATTAAGTTATATTATTCCAAGGAGATATTCCATTTGCAGTGTTAATTTATGTTTATTCAAAAGAGATCAATTATTAATTTGATTTCTGGTACACTGCAATATTATGTTTATTTAGTGAAAATCTACCTATCCCATTATCTTCCCCACATAAACTGTATTTTTATTCATTCAAACATGAGATCTGGAGAAGTGCTTTTTAAGTTTTACAAAAGCATTAAGTGGAAGTTACATGTTGTATGTAAGACTTAGAAGCAGGGGAGTTAACTTTTCACCTTACCTCGGGTACTGTTGTCATGTTTATACAATGAGCACCCCAGGAATGGAAGAGTTTGCTCTCAGCTTCCGAAGAAAATCTGGGCCCTTCTATGGTCAACATAGTTCCTCCTTTATGGCATCCAATCGAGAGTTCTTTAGCACAATCATAAAGAATCTGCAAATATTTAGATTCATACTATAGAAAGCTACATTCAAATACCAATGCTAGTTGTGTTATTGTGTATAACTTATTCAATGTGAGCTTCATTTTTCTCATTATTTACCTTTTCATAAAAATGCCTTCCACATTTATACCATGTGACAGATTCTATGATCAATAGGAATTATTCAATGGAATAAAACTTGGGTTAAAGCCCAGGACCACCACATTCAAACCAATAAATATCCTAAATACATGTTCTAACTCTTGAGGAAAACACTGTTTACTACTTTACGAACTGAATCAGAATAAGGAAAATTTGTGGCAGACATGGATTTGAAAAAGTGTCATATCTCACAGTTTAGATGCCTTAGCAAAATTCCACTTATTAAATATGAGTAATGGGTTATATATCCATGTATAAATCAGTCAATCAGGTATAAATGTATAGTAGGCATTAACTAAGCTTGTTTTATCACATTGTTTTGTGAATCAAGAGAGGTTTCTTTGATGAGTTTGTTTGAAGTTGAGAAATTACCAATGAAACGTTATGTAAACTGGTAGTTGTCACAAAAATACTTGACATTCTTTTACCTGACTTGTCCTGGAACAAAAAGGTTTGGCCATAGGCATGTGACATATGCCAGCTGGAGCATTTTTAGACCCATCAAAAAATGTTTGTATTCTTTTCTGTGTCCTGCATAAAGGTGAAAGAAAAGACAATGAGAATAAATGAAATATTTAACAATAAATTTGATGAAGTAGATGTGTCATCTGTGAGGTCATCAGAAGAAAGATTATATTACGTCAAATGCACCTTACATCATATGTGAATTTGTTTTTGTTTGTTTTGTTGCTTGGTTTACCATCTTGTGTACAGCCTGGGACATTTTAATGTTGGGTCTCCTAGTAGTGGCTGATGGCTACTTCACTGAACAACTTATGTAAGGCCTGTCACATGCCATCAAGAGCAATTAGGGTAAGGCGTCTTGTCAAAAGACACAGCCATGGCAACAAAACCAGTCTGTTTCTAAGCTTCCTGTGAAACACAAACTGCCATGGGTAGACAGTGTTGAACCATGCACAACAGATCTTCATCTGAGGTTACATAGACCAACACTGTAACTAAATGAGCTATCGCCATCCATTAGTAGGAAAATATTGGTAGCCACGTTCTCTGTCAGCTCTTGTTAAAAACTAAACTAAAAATCATTTAACTAAACCTTCCTATTTTTTCTTGCTTTCACACTTCACACTTTTCTCTCTGCTTCCTCCCACTTTCTTACTACATATATATAGCATGCCATTTATCCATATGAACCCATGAATCAACCCTATCTTACTGTACCAAATGTCAGGGAACTAGGTGTTAAAACCTATGAATCAAGAAAAGGGTAGTCAATTAAGTGGCTAATTGATTTTTTCAGTCTACGTTAGACAACTGGTCACATGTACATGTATTTATCACATCTTCATCTCAATGCCTAAGTTTATATGTTATATATACTGCCTTACAGTATTTGTTTTGAACTAACTGTCTAACTGTTTTGATTGCCATTATTGACTAACAAAACTGACACTGCATTACTTGTGCTAACCCATCAACTACCATATAAATTTCTGGGGATGGAACTTTATAAGCTCATAAATCCACACATTACAATACAACACAATATAACAAGGAACACCTAGTGCTGAGTATAATTTCAATTAGTCCAAAAGCTAAGGTAAAGCTGAATATTGTTCGTCAATATTAAATATAGCTACACATCAATTGTAAAATTTTAGACAAAAGTTAAGATGTACAACATTAGCTGATAGGATGTGTTAAGAATTATTCAAGATTACTGGAAAGTGAACACACCTGTCAATGAACTGATCCAAGACAACAATTTCCCCAGGGTGTATGTTTTCCTGTAGAGAACCACATGCAGTGGTTACCACAAGATGTGTACAGCCAACCTCTTTGAGAGCCCATATGTTAGCCCGGAAATTCACATTGGTGGGCATGACGGAGTGGGAGCGCCCATGTCGGGCTAGAAGCACACATGGTACCCCAGCTATTTCACCAGTTTTCAGGCTGTCAGATGGCTGAAAATTGACATAATATCAATTTTACACAGATTAAAAAGTAAACAACAATAACCTCCCAGATATTACACTCTAAATTCAGGAGCTCTTGCTGTGATATTGTAATATCGATTTACAGAAAATAAGAAAAAACAAGAGAACAATGGGCCTTTACAGTCATCCTGAATATAAAACATTTCAGTCAATTTGAACAATTTAGGCTCTAACCTCTGCTCCTGTAAGTATCTGATTGCCATCAATCTGCTATCTCATACTAATAAATACAAATACAAATATTTAAGGACTGATGCTCAAAAAGATGCTTTTCCAATACAAACTACGGTAGAATCTATGTTACACCTCTCCATGGGAAAATGTGGGACACCAGATTTATGAATTAAGTTCACAATTCGGGCAAAGCATCTAAAGTACCTTTGTCATTGAATTCATCATTTCTGGGTATTGGGCAGAATATTTTTGAAATTTTAGTCGATTTGACTGTTTTTGGCCTCACCTATCAGCTCCCAGGGGTAAGTCAGGGTCAACAGGTGCATACCATCATACTGTCATCTCCCTCTGACATAGTTTGTATTATTCCCATGCAATGGTAATTACTGAATTCAATTCCCTGTTTTTTTTTTACGATGGTTGATGCCGGTGTTTATTTAGCCAGTGGAAATGAATGTTTATATTTATTAACTGATTTTTTTTGTAATTGAAATTGTAATACAGCAATGCAGGGAAAACACATTCTGCCTGATAGAGTGTGAGACAGGCATCTAACTTTCACAGTCTACAGCATGATAAGACTTACCATAGCCCATATTGATGTAGCAAAAGTACTATGTAATTAACAATATCAAAGACGTGTACATGGCAGACTGATGATTGTGATATACCTTTCCAAATATTGTGTCCACTTCTAGTTCAGCACCATTTTTCAGAATGTCTGGGTTGGAAAGCCCTGATCCTCCAATAATACCTATCTATAAAAAAAACCATTTGTGTAAAAACAATGATTTAAGCAAGATTATCAAAAACAGGGAAAAAAAGTATCTGTATATTATCATTTTATGGTGTTTATGAAAGGCTTCTCATTGATGAGAACAATTATGATATTATCACTTGGTGAAGATAATAACATGTAAAATTGGATCAATTTGTTTCTATACAATCTGGGATATTGTTAAAGCAAGTTTGGTAAATAATAAAGAAGATATGCTTGGGGTTAAATTTTTATATCAACAGGCATAAGGTGCCTGACAACATCACACAAAGCAAGTATTTTTATGCTTAGTTGTTGATCCATGCATAATGCTACAATCATCTGGTGTGGTAAATAAAAATTATTTCTTCTAGTACTAAGTTCAAATAACAATACTGAATTTTTTTAAATGCTGACACAAACACCTTAGTCTTGACTGAACACCTGACCAAATGTATGGTAAGACAAAATATTAACTCAAGTTTGTTATCAAGTGTAATATAAGACTGCTAGTATTATTAAATAGCTCCATAATATTTTCGGTAAAAAAATCTATTTTTATAACAATCGTTTTTTTTTTTAATTTTCGTTACTTTTCGGTGAATGGTGTTTCTTAATGGTACAGTTAGTTAGCCAATAGCGGGTCACTTAGTAATTCCATTAAATAATTATGTAAAATTACTGAGCATTAAATTGTTTTATCTTGATATTCACTGGTGATCCGTTAATGGGTACGTCACTGTATACTATTACAAAATGGCGTCTGGCTAAAGAGGGGAATTTTGAACGATGTAAAAGATATAGCCTGGTCTGACGAAACAAAACAGTATATTCATGCAAAATGCGAGGTTTTAGGGAAATAAATATATCTTTAATGGATATATGTAAAGTAGGCGTGTTGTCATCCCCAATACATTCGGTGAACACCCAATTTTGTTTTTACATCGAACTGCCACGTTTACCTACAGGGCGTTTTGGATCCACATCAGCATCAGTCTTGAGAAATAGTTAACGTCTGACGTTAAATCCAGGATTAAAATTGGTCAATGACGGATTATTTTCAAAAGCTTAGTCGATTAACTTACCTTTACAGACATATCGGCGTTGCAATGAAACACGTGATGCTTCTGGTTGGCTTTCCTTTCTGTAACTGGGTCATTAGAAATGGACTCAATGCACCGTGCACAAATTTCTGCGTCGAACAAATCGCAACATGCCACCAAAAGGTAATAGGAATTTATTGGCATTTATATGCATGACACCAGCTGAATGTTATGACACAAGTAAATCACAAAAATTCCTAAAACGACTAAACTGAAAGTAAAATACTCGCGGAGTCATAACATTAATGGTAGTTATCTCCCTTCCGGGCTATACATCCCTAGCATGGAAAACAGGCGATTATTGTTGCGATTTACAAGATACATACTCTGTTTATTTGCCATTATGCCCACATGATAAACACGTCTCTGGATCTGCATTTTTTCGTCACAGATGAATTCAAATTGGATTTAGTGGTAATTTAATATATTTAATTTTGTGGCGTTTAATTTTAGAAGTTGTTGGTATATTTTCGGGCCTCAGACTTTCAAACTGAAAGATTGAAGTTATTCATTGTTTGATTCAAATTAATTAAGCCTTTGGCCCGACGTTTTAAGATCGACAACAGTTACAGTTCTCGCATTTCAAATGCTAAAATTGTCTGAAGGACAGACAAGATCACTGACTTGTTCAACGCACAACAGAAACAAAGAATGTGGTTATCTTAATACATTTTATGCCACCTTCAACTGACGACCTTTACTCTAGGACTTGTAACTTAGTGCCAAACAAGAAAGTGTGTGATCACTCTGGTGTTATTGTCAACATTTTATTTCCTGAAAAATACTATTGTTTTAATATGTTTAATCAAACTAATTTGAATTGATTTTAAAAGTGTTATTATGTAGCAGGATAATATAAATAATTATAATTGCAAGAGGGAGGCCATCCTATCATACGACACACAAGGTCATTATCATTTAAGCAGGAATTCTTACTCTTTCTGACGTGTCCTTACTCAGGTTATTTTGGGATTGCTTTTGAAGCTAAAAATGTCAATTTAAGTCAAGGTTTTCAGTATTCATTGCGACACAATGATTTGTGGTTCCGCTAGATAACTCGCTAATACACTTGGACGGATCATTTTTAAGAAATCAGAACTGCCTCTTACAATTAACTGATCAATATCGCTCAGCGGTACTTTGATGTTGAATTTGATTAAATGTGACATTGTCAGTCTGATGGAAAAAGAAAGAATAAAGATACATTTCATAGAAATAATATTTCAATGTCTAAAAACATATTTAAATCGTCCACCTGGCATTTTTCTGGAGAGTCTTTCCTACAAATCATAATACCAAACCATATAAATTTTCTGTCGTGATTTTCTTCATACTTGATATTTTTGCTGTTCAAACCGCCATTTTCCGAACTCCGTCGTCAAAGGTTTTGTTACTGCTTAAGAAGTACTGGATTGATAATTCTTAAACTTCTTACCTCTTTCTTGGTCCCTAGTTATTCGTGTTTTGTACAGGAACTTATGGATGGAATTCGCCGACATACAGCCATATTGGATCTGAAAGGTGAAGAGAAATATTCTTCTTGATCCCTGGTGAAAACGATACATTTTATGACTGATCGGGAAAACGAAACGGCTAACAGTGGCCATCTTATACTCACAATGAACACACCACCTACACCAACCACCTTATACTCACAATCAACATCCACCTACACAAACCACCTTATACTCATCACCAACACCCTACCCACAAAAACCACCTTATACTCACCCTCAACACCCCACCTACACAAACCACCTTATACTCACCCTCAACACCCCACCTACACAAACCACCTTACACACACCCATATAAGCACTCTTGAAATGTGTAATCACTAACATAACACCCATTCAACATATAAATTTACGTTATGCACTTAACTGAGTGACTTTCCAGTTTGCGAAAAAAAATATTACAATGTTAACACTGAGGTCATACTTGATTCCAAATATACTGACGAAAAAAAGAAACGCAAATTCGGTTTTTGTAATATAACTTTTAGACACATGGACGGAATTTAATTATATTTGTCACTGCAATTCCTCCTTGCGGTGTGAAAATGTTCTTCAGTTAAAATTCAGCTGACCGTGACCCCGCTTGACGCTGCATGCTTTCAGCAGATTTTTCAAGAAAACATGCATCCGGGGTACTCCTACACCATATGTGCTGGTAAATCACCACAAATCGAACATCGGAATAGTACAGATCAGCTACACACCATTTCTTTTCGATGCGATTGCAGAGCAAATTGCTGCGATTGTGTGAAGCCGATGGGGTGGGGGTCATTGCTCTGATAATGAAAGAGCATCCGCAACGTCATGTAGCCCGTTTAGTTGGGCGTCTCCGAGCCACATGGAGATTGGTTGGCCGTCCAGGAATGGACGCGTTACGTCGTGAAGTCATCATAGAGACGGAGACAACAGACACGTTGTGGACACTCGTGGTCGGTCAGTGTGTCCAAGAACGGTAAGGAATCTGTTGCAGGAGTTTTATTTGAGGTCACGACGTCCCTATATTGATCCAATACTTCCGCAAATACGACGCCAACGTCGAATACAGTGGCTGTATGTACATACGATTAATCGGTTTCGTTTGGCCCATTGGAGACCCGTGTTGTTCATTGAAGAGTCTTGCTTCACGCTTAACAGGTCAGATGGACGACAACGTGTCTATCGACGTCATGGTGGGCGATATTCTAACGCTTGCGTTATCCATGGCAATCTTAAAGCAGTAACAAATCGGGATCAGTTCTTGATACCGCACGTCCTTCCTCTTAACCATCAACGTAACCTTATGTTGCAACAGGACAACGCGAGGCCCCATGTTGCTAGGGTTTGTCGTGACTTTCTGGTTTATAACAACGTTCCAGTTCTTAATTGGCCACCATACAGTCCAGATTTGTCCCAAATCGCGCATTTGTGGGACGAGCTGGATAGTGGGGCTAGGAAACGCGCCAACGTTCCATATAACATCGCTTAACTTACGTAGGTCCTTATACAGGGGTGGAATTTGATACCCCTCAAAGGACAATAAACACCTTAATGGTGTTAATGTTAAGTAGTGTAAGAGCAGCGACTGAAGCCAGGAGTGGGCACACACGCTACTGATTTGGATCAGGAATCGGCGTAGGGTTCCCTTGTTTTAACGCTGTTCACACAAACGCTGTCTGTGGTAGGACAATAAAAATCATCAAATTGTATTCAGTAATGATGAAATAATCGAGAAACCCAAACAATGAACTAATTATCAATGAATCATGTAAGACAATAATCATCGGAAATAAACTTGCGTTTCTTTTTTCCGCTAGTATAATTAGCGTTTATCTAGAACCATTATAGTTAAAACCACATGACATTAGTCTTTTAGAAAATTGGTAACCTGTTGAAATGATTTCAGTTTCAGACAGAGATTTGTTAATATCCATACATAAATATCAGTATATATATAAATGTTTATAATTGCTTAAGAAATAAAAATTTGCTGTTTTGTTAAAAAAAGGGTAAGGCTTATAAAAATTTATACGCTCTGGTGCTATTTGGATATCAACATATCAAACGCTGATATTTGAGGAGTCAAAGATCATCAATTTATCATTTCTTTTGTAAAACAGAGTATTCCATGCATGGAATTTTCATATCGTGTTCAAACTAATCCAGCAGTTTGAGGAACATTGATACTGTTTAATTAACTCAAAAGTCATAGATACACGGATGAAAAAAATTCTTCGCATTTTCATGCATTTGCATGCGTCATGAAAATTCCTCACATCGACTTCAGTCCAATGTATATACCATGATGTCAAGAAAGTTAGTTTGTTGGTCTGCAAATGATTGGAGGGTTGTCTCTCTTCTATCGATAAGACAAAAACTCTTATGTGTTCTTTTAGTGTCTGATGTCTAATGAATCATTTCCATCCTTAATAGCGATGCGTTATTCGAGTTATTTAGGCCTACCAGTATTTTCTCATCATGAAATAGATTAGTGCTGTTTGAAAAAAACAACATGAAAATCAATTAAAATATACATTGAGTATTCCTTAACACGTTGATATGTTAAGATTTGTATTTATTAACGCATTACGTTTGGAATATTTAGGTACAAGATTAATGTAATATCATGTACTTTGCAGCCAGAGTTTAATTACTTACAATGTATGTAATTACGTTTTTGTCGCTTGATTCACATTGCATCATACATGGAATTATTTTACTAGACCTATTTTGATAGTGATTATGGACGATAGGTTTGAAATACTTTTTATGAAATGTGGTGTAGGCCAGAAAATGTATCGAAAAAGTGTTAAAAGTATGATTGAAAATTTTCAAATTTAACGTTTATTTTATTTAAATGAAGCTTTATTGTCGTAGTGCTATTACTTAAATACCTATATTTATGTATAATACGTTTGAAAAAAGTCCGGAGTTATTTGCAATGCAGGTAAGAGATTATTGGTATTGAGAATTGAATATTATCTAATTTAACAATTATACGTGTAGTGTTTTGACATATTTACCTGTATTACCTGTATTTACAATAAATGTACCTGTATTTACCTGATTTCTTATAAATGATTAAAGTTTATAATGATCGATGTGTTTTCTTTGTTATTACTTTCTTTTATAAACAAATCCGGTTTCTCCCAGGTTATTTATCCTGGATTTTCAGTTTTTGGATAAACAGGACAAAAACTCATCCAACACGTTCGAAAGTTCGTCGATGTTTATCGTTTATCTATACAGAATTCGTATAAACATCTTCAAACATTTTTCTACAAAACCAATACAGTAATCGTTGTAGGTAACACTTATTTATCATATAACTATCCTGTCATCAATGATATAACTATCAGCCACAGACTGCTATATTACACGTGGAATTTGACCGAGCCGAGCTGTGATTGGCTAAAGGTTTCAATCAAGTTACCATTGTTTCAGTTCAAGGCATAGCGACACCAAAGGAAGAAATATATAGATTATCTCCAATTAAGATATTGTATCAATCTCATGAAAACTGTTTTCGCGAATAATTTGAAA